GGAGAGGAGAGAGATGGGGGGGGGGAAAGGAAGGGTTTTAAATACTTCCAGGGAAAGGGGAAAATCCTGTATATGTGTGTGTGTTCTGTATGGTTGTGTGTCTGATGTGTGTGGTGTGTGTGTGTGGTGTGTGTTGTGTGTTGTGTGTGGTGTGTGTGTGTGTGTGTGTGAGATAAGATAAGATTTTTTTTCGGATTTTTAAACCCCCGGGGGTTTAGCCCCCCGGGGAAAACCCCAAGAAAGTCATGCGTCTGAGGACTTTTAACTTTTTCCATTGGGGTCCTTAAATCTTGTCCCCAGGTCGACCCACACCAGTCGACTAAAACCCAGGTACTATTTGTGCTAGGTGAACGGACAACAGGTGTAAGGAAACGTGTCGAAATGTTTCCACCGCCCGGGGAAACGAACCCGGGCCCTCCGTGTGTGAAGCGGGAGCTTTGCCACCAGGACCGGGCCGTGTGTCGCATATGTGTGTTTGTGTGTGTGATTTTGTGTGGGGTGTGGTGTGTGTGGGTGGTTGTGTGTGGTGTGGTGTGTGTGTGTGGTGTGGTGTGGTGTGTGTGTGTGTGTGTGTGCATGTGTGTGTGGTTTGTGTGTGTGTGTGGTGTGTGTGTGTGTGTGTGTGTGTGTGTGTTGTGTGTGTTGTGTGGGGTTGTGTGTGCCCAACTATTCAAGTGCCTAACCCAGAGCTGTTCTCACTAGTGTTGTGGGCATATGTTTATGTAAACAGTCCCTTTTTCCCCGTTGTTACATATGTATTGTATATGACCCGTCTCTTTGGGTTTCCCCCGTACGTCTTAGCGTTTTAAAATTACATTTAAAAAAAAAATCACTAGGCTTCGCTATATGCCGCTCCTCTAAAATTTTTTTAATGCCAGTAAAAAGCTGCTATTTAATTTTTAGCTCGGGAGGGTGACCCCAATTTTCCCGCTAGGACAGGTCTATTGGGCCCCCGCAACTCAAACTAGGTGAATATTTCTTGCGGCTGGCAGTGGAGTAACGTTGCGGGTCTTATCCTGTCCAGAAGTTGAAGAAGTTTGATGCTACTCAGTAATTTTTCCACTAACTTCCTGTATGCACTATAGTCTCTAGCTCTTCTAATTTTTTCACTCACTCACTGTATTTACTGGACACATCTATACATTATCTCTTATCTCCCTGGTCTTGAGTCGCACTATTCTTCAAATACCCCACTGCGTTATTATGGCAACACTATTTAAGCCTGACACAACCGTTCACCCTTCCAACGGCCCCCACTAAACACTCAGCCAATATTTCCTTTGTTTTCTTTTCTGTGATCACTTATATTTCCTTTTTTCGGGGCTTAAGTGATTATATGCACTCTTATGCGTGCACACGCCTATATCCCCCACACTATTCCTTATGGCACAGTCAGAAATTACCACCAAAACACGAGCTCAAACCGTGTGACTCCTCCACGAGTGTGGCGGCGGCGGCGGCTGTTGTTGTTGTTGTTGTTAGGTAAGCCGTTCTCACTAGTAGAGGCTGTTGAAGTTGATTTCAGGTCTGTACCAAGATACTCTTGTGTTGCAGTGTCTGACAGATTGAACATTAAAATGGTATAAAATACCAACAGGTATTTTATACCATTTTAATGTTTATATATATATATATATACAGTGGACCCCCGCATAACGATGGCATCGCATAGCGATTTTTCCGCATAACGATTACTTTTATCGCAAAATTTTTGCCCCGCATACCGATTAAAAACCCGCATACCGATTTTCGTCCGAGACGCGTCCAATGTGCCCTCAGCCAGCCTCACATGTGCCGCTCCGTCCCATTGTTTACCAGCCAGCCTCCGCGGTAACATCCAAGCATACATTCGGAATATTTCGTATTATTACAGTATTTTCGGTGCTGTTTCTGGAAAATAAGTGACCATGGGCCCAAGAAAGCTTCTAGTGCCAACCCTACACCTCAAAGGGTAAGAATTACTATAGAGATGAAGAAAGAGATAATTGATAAGTATGAAAGTGGAGTGCGTATAGCCGACCTAGTCAAGCTGTACAAGAAACCCCAATCAACCATCGCTACTATTGTGGGCACCAGAAAGACAATAAAGGGAAAGCTGTTCTTGCCAAAGGTTAACTGTGTTTTCGAACAAAGATCGCCAATTGTGGAAGATGTGAAAAGATCTTATTGGTGTGGATAAATGAAAAACAGATAGCAGGAGATAGCGTCTCTCAAGCGATCATATGTGAAAAGGCTGGGAAAGTTGCATGACGATTTAATTAAAAAAATGCCTGCAACTAGTGATGATGTGAGTGAATTTAAGGCCAGCAAAGGTTGGTTTGAGAGATTTAAGAAGCGTAGTGGCATCCATAGTGTGATAAGGCATGGTGGGGTGCCAGTTCGGACCACAAAGCGGCTGAAAAATATGTGCGGGAAATTAAAAGGAGTACTTTGAAACTGAAGGACTGAAACCTGAAAAAGTGTTTAATTGTGATGAAACAGGCTGTTCTGGAAGAAAATGCCAAGCAGGACCTACATTATCAGGAGGAAAAGGCACCCCCAGGACATAAGCTATGAAAGAAGGTTACTTTGTTGATGTGTGCCATGCTACTGGTTTGATTGCAAAGTGAAGCCTTTATTAGTGTATCACTCTGAAACTCCCAGAGCGTTCGGGCCCAAAAGAATGTCCTCAAGGATAATTTGTGTGTGCTGTGGGAGGGCAAACAGTAAGGCAGGGGGTCATAGGGAATTTTTTCTTAACTGGTTTACACCATGCATTTCCCCCCAAATGTGAAAAATTACCTAACTGAAAAGAAATTAGAATTTAAAGTGCCTCTGGTTTTTAGACAAATCCCCCTGGTCATCCTACAGACGTGGCAGAGCGTTTATGGGGACATGAGCTTCATTAAGGTGAAGTTTTTGCCTCCTAATACCACTCCTCTCCTGCAGCCCATGGACCAGCAGGTTATTTCCAACTTCAAGAAACTGTACACAAAAGCTCTGTTTAAAAGGTGTTTTGTAAGCCCTCGGGAAACTCAAATGACTCTAAGGGGAGTTTTGGAGAGATCACTTTAATATCCTCAATTGTGTAACCTAATAGGTAAGGCTTGGGAGGAAGTGACTAAGAGGACCTTGAACTTGCTTGGAAGAAAACTGTGGCAGAATGTGTAGACAAAAGGGGATTTTGAAGGGTTTGAGGCTAACCTGAGAATCCTGTGCCAGTTGAGGAATCCATTGTGGCATTGGGAAAGTCCTTGGGGTTGGAGGTTAGTGGGGAGGATGTGGAAGAGTTGGTGGAGGAGGACAATGAAGAACTAACCACTGATGAGCTGCTAGATCAACTTCAACAGCAAGAGGCCACACTGAGGAAATTGCTTCGGGGAGGGGAGAGAGAAATTGAAGAAGTTGCCTACTTCAAAGATTAAGGAAATCTGTGCAAAGTGGCTTTAAGTGCAAACCTTCATGGATGAAAATCACCTCCACACAAGCTATTGCCAAACCGTGCTGGTGATTATTACACTGACAATGTTTTGAAAAAACTTTAGGCAAGTCATAAAGGAAGAGAGGTAAAAGGCCACTATGGACAGATATCTTGGGGCGAAGAAGTCCAGTGACTCTGAAGCTGGCCCTAGTGGCATTAAAAGAAGAAGGGAAGTAACCCCAGAAAAAGGGCTTACTACCTCAAGTCCTAATGGAAGGGGATTCCCCTTTAAACACTAACACACTCTCTCCCCTCCTTCCATCCCCTCAATCATCACCAGAAACTTCAATAAAAGTAAGTGTCATTAATGTGCATGCCTTTTTTCAGTTTGTGTGTATTAAAATTTAACATTTCATGTGGTAAAAAAAATTTTTTTTCATACTTTTGGGCGTTTTTGCACGGATTAATTTTATTTCCATTATTTCTTTTGGGGAAATTGATTCGCATAACGATTATTTGCATAACGATGAAGCCCTCTTGCACGGATTAAAATCGTTAACCGGGGGGTCCACTGTGTATATATATATATATTTATATATATATTTATATTATATATATTATATTATATATATTATATAATAATATATATGATTTTATATATATATATATATATTAATATATATATATATATATATATATATATTATATATATATTTATATATAATATATATATATATTTATATATATATATATAATTATAATATTTTTTTTCAACAAGTTGGCCGTCTTGTGTGTGTGTGTGTGTGTGTGTGTGTGTGTGTTTTGTGTGTGTGTGTGTGTGTTTGTGTGTGTGAGAGAGAGAGTGAGTGAGTGAGTGAGTGAGTGGAGTGAGTGAGTGTTTGTGAGTGAGTTAGTTAGTTAGTTAGTTAGTTAGTTAGTTAGTTAGTTAGTTAGTTAGTTAGTTAGTTAGTTAGTTTAGAGAAAAAATGTAGCACCAGCTGTATACTGGGATGCTGCCTGGTATGAATATTAAACTGAAGTACAATTATCCAAAGTATTTACAAATATTCAAAGTAATTAATCTTAAAATAAAACCCCAAATACTGTACAGGAGAGCCGTGTTTATACAGAAGGTTAGGTTCCAGGCTAATGCAGTAAAATGAAAATCACTATAAAGTGAAACATAACCTTTCTTGCATTTTCAAATACATATAAAAGCCTGATAACAACATGCTTATACTATCATATATTAAGTGAACATTAGAGCCAGGCCTAAAAAAAATGCATATACAGTACACACATTCCTTACCTTAAAATATTTTCATCCTTAGCTTACAGTGAGTGGTTAATATATTTACTGTAGAAAATCTGAATAAATGAAGAATGGGTATAACTGAAAACTGCTGCATTAGCAAAATGCTGTAAAGCAGTGCTGCAAAGCAGGGCACCCTCCTGTATGTACACTAGACCACCTATCAGCTTCCAGATTTTCAATACATGCACATATATACGTACTAATTATTTTTATCTCTTTAAAAAAATAAAAATGTGGGTTCTATAATAAAATAATTTAAAATAGTAATAAAACAAAAATTAATACATACACTGCTATGGCTTGTAAAGGTTTTTTCAAGCAACGTATTGGGGAACAATCCAGTTCGTATCTTATTACGAAATATACTCTCAATGTGACGACGTTGGGAGGGCACAGAATCGTACAGTTTCAGCAGAATCAAAACATCGAAAGGCCGAGTACTGGCAACATCATCTACATCATGTATTGCCTGAAACATGTGTGGTTAAATGGGCAACTTTCAGTGAACTTTCCACTGTGTAAAATAGATACAAATAAAAATATACCAGGAAAATGTCCTTCTACCTAGGTGGTGGGTAATTATTCATCAAGAAACAGCAAAATATTTTGCCTCCAGACATGGGTCAGAAGACATTCTGCTGGCCTAGTGGAGCTAGGTTTCACACCTCATTTAAAAGGCAAGCTATCATTGCACAGTAATATTCCAATATTCAATTCCATGCCCTTTTTTAAAACACAAGCCTTTTATTTATATTTCATTTTTCATACAAAAAAAGATACAGTTCAGTAATTAAATCAAATTATCTCCTAATGGCCTACTTACTGCTAGGCATATATTAGAATTTGTCAAGTCACACTTGCAAATGCACTTCAAGAAATAAACTTTTTACAAAAGATAATTATAATGTGAAACACTGTACCTCATTATTATACACCATATATAAAATACTGTACTTTATAGTGGCTTTCTTTTGTTCTTAATAATACGTATTTTATCATATGGTGAAAGTGTTGAATGATGGTAAAAGTATTTCTTTTTTGGGTCATCCTGCCTCCGTGGGAGACAGAGACGGCCCACATGTTAAAAAAAAAAAATATGTAAGCTACAATTTGTACACTGCACAAAGAAACTGTTTGTTTGTTTCTTCAGTAGAAAATCTCTTGATCTCACATGACAAAAGAATGTGGCACTATAACTTCAATATACATATTACTTTTAGCCAAGGAATAGAAATTATAATTGATATTAATTACCATTTAGTTGTGAGAAACTACAGCTGAAATTAATTACCTTTTGCTGAAAAAAGCTATACAGTACAGTCACTCCTCACTTAACGACAGAGTTCCATTCCTATGACCATGTTAATAAATGAATTTGTTGCTAAGGAAGGAGCATACTATAATGGTAGTGGGTTTATGTCAACCATCTCCGATATTGTTTTAATGTCACTTTTGCACCATTTATAACATTTCTAGTATATTTGTAAATGTTTATACAGTAGTGTATTGTATACTGTATTAAACAGAATAGAGGAAATCAGCTCTAATATACATTATTTAGAAATGCATACTGGTCAGAGAACTCGTTGTAAGTCCGAGTCGTTGGTAAATGAGTACGTCGCTAAGTGAGGAGAGGCTGTATATAAAATTAATTACTTTTAGAGGTGAAAAACCTTTTGTGGAGAAAAACTAACATTCTGTGGAGAAAAACTAATATTTTTTGGAGAAAAACTAATATTTTGTGGAAATAAACTAACAATTTGTGGAAATAAACTAACAATTTGTGGAAAACAACTAACATCTTGTGGAGAGAAACTAACTCTGTGGTAAAAATTAAAACTTTGTGGAGAAAAACTAAAATAAATTACCTTTAACCAAGCAATGGAGAGAAACTTATGAGTGAGAGTAGCCATCTTTATGTTATTCATGAGAAGCACTTCATATGCTATGTCTTCATTGCTAGAGTTATTATTTGTTGCAGTAATGCTCGTATTCAGTTTACTCTGAGACTTCCTTGGAGATGTCTTGCTTCCTCTGTGATCACCTGGCAAATGGATCTTTTCTCTCATGTCACTCAAAACCTGAATAGAGGAAAATAAATGATTCAATAAAGCTGCAGATGTTTTATCTGGCAGACAATACCAATAAAAACAAACTTGTTGAAAATGGTATAAAATCCTGACAAGTTGATGAGTAAGACATGTGCAACAGTTAGTTATCTTTATTGTGGAAATGTTTCACCTACACAGTAGGCTTCTTCAGTCAAATATAAAGGCAGCAGGTGTAGTAGCAAAGCAGAGATGTAATCAGTCATTGATGGACTGATAACATCATCTTTTACTTTGCTACTACACCTTCTGCCTCTGTATTTGACTGAAGAAGCCTACTGTGTTAGCAAAATGTTTCAACAATAAAGATATCCAACTGTTGCACGTGTGTCTTACTTATCAAAAAAATCTTAAATGGCACGAAAGATGCCTAAAAAAAATAAATTCTATTAAAAGAATAAACTTCACAGTGAAAAGAATAAAATACAAATTGACCATGTTATGCTGTAATGCGATAAAATTTTTATACCACCTAACAAACACCATTTTATAAAATAAACATAATTAAACCCTAAAATTTATATGACCAATAAGGGGAAGCAGATATCCAGTAATGGTGACTGTGGTGAACTTAAATGCATTTACATAGTAGTGGCATTCTTTTATGCCAAATAATGTTTTAATACATGTAAACAACATGATCTTTGTACCACTTAAAAAGAAAAAAAATTTTATTTGAATCTGAGATGAGATTTTTAGTCAGGATCATAACAATAACAGACAATTCTGTAACAAATGCACCTTGTCCATTGAGTTTGAATCAAATGACCCAGTGGATTTTGTCTTATATTTGAGATCCATTATTTTGAGGTCTGTTAAAATGGGGAGTTCAATGTATACTCTAATGTCAAAATACTTTTTTTTAATAAATCAGCTGCTTACTACCATGGCAGAGTGACCCAAAGAGCAAACATTAACCATCATTCATTTTATTGCTGTCTTGCCAGAAATCCAAGGATGGCACAATTCAAAACACCCTTCAAATCACACACATACATTCACACACACGCACAAAAAAAAAAAAAATACCTAAAATATTTTAAATTGAAGAGTAGTTTTAACCTAATATAAGACTCCTTTAGACTAAATAGTGAAATCCTAATAACATGGAAACCTGTCTGCTTCATGAGAGTCTATCTTTTACAGCTGTGAATGAACTTTCCTTGTGCTGGTTAAGGACTTTTCATCCAAGGAAATAGAGCTGCTCTCCCCTTCCTTGGATCAAGCATCATTACCTCCCATTTCCTAGGTGCTCTATGTACTGAAATGTCTTTGCAAAGGGTGAGACTCAGCTCCTGGCCCAGCCTCCTCAACTACTTTGATCAGTTGTATAGGCATTATGGATTTAGCACTTCCCCATTAACATAATAATGATACCAGTCTGAATGAACAATGGGGTTTAGATTTTTGTGAATGTAATAATCCCATATCTCAACAACGATTAAATACTAACATTACAATATACTATATATTTATAAATAAGTGTACAATGTAGTATAATTATGTACTATATAAATATGATGTACAGTATACATACATATATGTACTATGTCCCATGGAAAATATGCTTTGTTGTACTTACAGTAACCAAATAAAGATCATTATTTACCTGATATGCCATAGACTGAGGGGTGTTGTTAAGCAAGAACTTTACAACTATTGGCAGTTGTTCAGGTCTGGTGGCCTGCAGTGTCTTAAGAACTGAATGACGGACATCCTCAAGGCTATCTGGTGGCAGGGTCAGGTGTCCCAGGGTGTCAAGAACTGCTGTGGTCAGTTCTGGCACTGTGTCATACAGCTCACTGTAAACATAAAAAATTCATAACGATGCATAACTTTGTTTTTTAGAATATTAAATTTGTGGGGAAAGCTCTAAGCCTGTAAGGGGGTCATACAGCTTCTGGGAAATGGGAAGTTATCAGGTTTGACCAGACTAAGGAGAAAGTAGCTCCAATTCCTTAGACCAAAAACCTGTTATCATCATTACCATCAAGGCAGCCCCTAGACAACAGTGATGAACCTGTAGAATCATCCAATGAAAAGTAGGGGTGCCATTAGTATACTAAGAGAAAACACAATAAGTGACTGGAACCCAAGACTGTTCAACAGCCTCCCATCAGGCACAAGGAAAATTACCAATAGACCCCTGGCTGCCTTCAAGGAGCGGGACAGATACCTAAAATCAGTACTCAATCAGCCAGGCTGTGGTTCATACACTGGACTATATGTGGCCAGCAGTAACAGCCTGGTTGATCAGGCCCAAAAATACACCAGGGGGCCTGGTCAAGGAATGCCCCCTGAAACACCCTCCAGGTAGACCGGGGAATGGGAAGTAATCAAGCTTAATCCAAGAAAGGGAAGAATAACTAATTCCTTGGATCAACAGTTCTCCCAGCATCAAGGTATTTCCCCTTAAGGGAGGTGCTTGACCAGCAAGGTTGTGATGGTTAAGGCCACAAGCTAACAGACTGGTTCCCCTTTAGCCATTCATGAAGCAGCTTTTTTAGCTGCCCCTTTTTTAAACCCGGTTGAAGGTTGCATGATCGGGGGATGGACTTCTGTTATTTTATTTTTAAGTGGGGGGAAAGGGGAGGGGGTGGGGGAAATCAAAGCACCTAAAAAAAAGGGGGGTTAAAAACCTGGCGAACAGAAGGGGTCCAGCCAACCCAAAAAGAGTTTAAAGAGGCAGTTCACCTGGGAAGAACAGCCCTTGGAAAAGCAAATACAAATTTCCCCAAAGTTACCTTGATGGTTTCTTCCCCCCTACCCAGGTAAATTATCCCATTCTCCCTTTTTGGGTAAAAATTTTATTAATTTATGGGTGAGCAAAAAATCCACAGGGATCATACAAACCCCTGGGGGAATAAAAAGTTTCGACTAGATTCAAAAAATTGGGACCCCTTTTATCCGTGAATTAGTATACCTGGGGGGTGGTTTGGGGGTCAATCCCCCTGCAGCCCCCAGTAGATGAACGGGGCCTTGCGAGGATCAGGGCCTGATCAACCAGACTGTTCCCACTACCCATACCAAACCAAGTCGAACCACACCCCAGTTGGTCAGGAACTGACTTAATTTCCCTTCTGGCTCCTTTTTGAAGACACCTTTATGTATCTGGGAAGCAGTTAACAGTCTTGGTCCCCTACACTTATTGTGTTATTCTTAGCGTACTGGTGGTCCCCTGTTTTTCTTTTGTAGGAGTGATTTCCATGTGCAGTTTTGGGACTAGTCCCCCCTAGGATTTTTTCAAGTGAATATTATCATGTATCTTTCTCACTGCATTATAAAGTACGTCAAGGGACTTCACTTTTTCCCAGTAATTTGGTGCTTTATTGTCTTATATGGGCGTGAAAGTTCTCTGTATATTCTCCAGGCCTGCAATTTTCACCTCCTTTAAAAAGGGCCCAAATTAGTGTACAACAATATTCCGCCTAAGAGCAAGTGATTTGAAGAAATCATCATGGCCTGGCTCCTTAGTTTTAAAGGTTCTCATTTCCCCCTACATTCCTAGAAGGTGCATAGAGACTTTGTTTTTTTGAAAGCGAGTTTCTATGACATCATCATCCCAGGCCTTCACTTTATTTTTTTTGCTGTTTGTGTTTTGGAATTTTTTTTAATACTCCAAATCTAGTTTTATTTCCTCAGTTTTCCATAGGGGAGAAATTTAAAAATTTTGTTTTCATGAACTCATGTTGTTTTTGAACCCCCATTTAAAGATTTGGGAATGTCTGCTTGGAGATTTGCAGTGTCTCAATTGAGCACTGCATGCAAATTCTGGTATCATATCAGAGGACACTTCTTACACTCTGTCATTTTGGGGATGGGGAAAAAGGGGGGGAGCAAGTCCTTTACCTTGTGGAAAAAAAGTTTTTTCACGTAGCTGCCAATGCTTTCTCTGTTTACTATTACTCTGTTTTTTTTGTTAGGAAATTATAGAGCCCCCTACCATTTTTCTCCCCATTCCCTTTATCAACATTTTGTCTAATTACACAATCACGTTTTCAAAGGTTTCACAGTCTTTGTTACTACATCTGCATTTTGTTTGTCCAGGGGGATCAAAGCCATGTCATTGTGGTCCAAAAGATATAAAGAATTGCAAGAGTAAACCTTTATATTTCAGTAAACTGAAAAAAACATTTTTTTATAAAAACTTTTTTTTTATATCTTTCACATATATTTACCCTTTATTTATGTGTATATACTGTATATATTCTTGTGTGTAATACTTTTTTTTGAGTGCTAATTAATTGCCAGGGGAAGAGTGATTTTTTTATCTTAGGCCTGTCAAACTAAAAGCACACTAACTTGGCCCTCTGGGGGCTCATTATCATAACTAGAAACCATGGTCCTGGCAATGGGGCCTCAGTTACACATGTACAGTTTTTACTTTTATTGGGAAAATGCTAAACCCCTTGGGGTTATCCCGTGTGGGCAATGGAAGGGAAAAAAATTTCGATCCAAAAGCATAAGTGCAAATTTCCCTTTTACATGAGCCTCTCACTGGCATTATGCACCTCCCTTGTAGTAGCTCTGCTTACTTTAAATTTTACCAGCATTAGTCACGATTGGTGTTAAAACATTTTGCGTCCAAAATTTGATTCATCTATTCCCCTCTGCATCAAGGCCCCAAAACATTCGGTGATTGATCCACGTGAGTTAACCTTCAATAAGTGTCTCATGCTTAATTTCTTTGAAAACCTTTTGAAGAACCCCACTAAATTTGTAAGACTGGACTCCTATCCTGATAATATTTTGTGGGAAAAGCCTAAATTGTAAGAGTCGGGTTTTTTGGAATGGGGGGTTTGTTAGGTAAGGGGTTTTTTAGGAACCAGGACAAGTGTTTTCCGAAAAGGGGCAGCTATGACGATCTGCGCGGGCTTTTTGGGATCTGATGGGGGCCCTTCCCCCGGCTGACCAGTCAACCCCGTTAAAAAATTATTTATGATTATAACCATTAAAATTATTTGGGATAAAGGGGGAATCTGCATTATCTGATGGGGGGGTAACTTCATTAAATCTTTATTACGGGGAAGCATTACATTAAGGGCTCATACAGCATCTGGGGAATGGGAGATACTGTTTGATCATGGAAAAGGGAAAATTACTCCAAATTCCCCTTGGGTCAAAAGCCCCTTTAACCCGGGATCAAGGCACCAACCTTAAAAGGGTTTATGTACATGAAACCCCTGTTGGTTTTCTAGAAAAAGACCCGCCCAGTGTGTTTCCAACACTTCTTCCTGACCCCTTCCCCTTAAAAATTTTGACATTAGCCCCGTCAGAATATTGATTTGTATTCCCTGCCCGAATCTATCCCTTTTTGGAAAAATTTTGGACAAATTAATTTTCCAGCACTTAAATTCTTCTTTGTGTGTCAAATTTAGAATTTAAGATCCCGAACGGGGTAAAAAATGACTGCCCCTTTTCTTTCATATACATGGTTTTAAACCTTTCAGCCCCCACGCCTTGTTGCGTCCTGCTATAACAACGAAATCACCACCACCCTTTCACGATTTCTTTTTAAAATGGGGAGGGGTGGGGCTCAAAGGGTGTATAATGTTGGGAGGGACGGGGGGAAAGGGATTTGGAAATGAAACAATTCGCAGAAAAAAAGGGTTTCCCCCTTTAATACTTGATACTGCACACGTGTCCCTATTTTACATTGCGGGATTTTTTGCCCAAACCCGAAGCCTCTTCTGGCAGGCTTCAAAACTATTAAAGTTGATGTGTTTCACTAGAGGTTTGGACTGGTTTTTCATTTGTTTAAAAAAACTTAACAAATTGTGGGTTTCGGGCATAACTTAAAATGTCACTTCGTCTCAGCTTCCAATTTTCAAACTTTGGGGTGTGTCATTAATGGAGCTTGAGGGTCTGTTTGGTAGATGTTATTTAAAAAAAATAGGGACCATTCTTCCCCTTTCAAAGCTTTAAGATAAAAAATTTCAAATACATTTATAGTAACTTAAACAAAAAACATTTTTTTTTACTTTAAAACTCCCTAAACCTTTTAAATCCTACAAATTAAAGAATAAGTAAAAAAATTCCCAAACATTTTTTTTTTTACGATGCAAAAACCCAGCTTTCCCCTTTGGGAAAAGCCAATAACTGATGTAAATGTCTTTAAAAGCACTTTTAAACTGTTTTTTCCATTATAAACGGAGGATCCCCTCCCGAAAAGCCAACCCTTCTAACTTTTCAACAACGAAATTGGGGAAATAACATGGAAATCGCCCGTAAACCCTTTCACGATGATTCTTGATAATAATAATAAAAAATAAAATAAAAAATAATAAAAATAATAATAATAATAAAAAATAATAATAATATGTTTTTTTCTACTGACAACGTTTACTGACCAATTATATTATTTTTTATAATCGAAAGAAGACTAAACCACAAGGGCTTTACACGCGCGGGCAGGGAAGGAAGCGAGGGAAATCGGGTGGCAAAAGGGAAGGGATGATTAGTAGGTTTACGGAGAACAGGGGGGGAGGGGATATGCAGGGGTAAGGGTAGAAAAAAACGAGGTAAAAGGGCTGAGGGGAGTGCTAAAGGTACATCAGAATTTGTGGAGTTTACGGGCCAATGATGACATTAACATGCTACTATACAAAAAGCACTTGTTATGCAGAGATTTTCGGGCAAATTAGGTCATTTTGTCCCAGGGAGGACCCCCAAAACCAGTAGACAACCCCCCCACGAAATTTTTTTCACTGCAGGTAAAACAGAGACAGCAGTATCTTAAGGAAACGTCCTTTTTCCCCCACCCGTATGGGGGGACAAAAACCAGGGCCTCAGTGTGAGAGCCGATGTGCTACCAATCGAGCTACAGGAAATACGGCCTATTGTTTGACGGTTGAACTCCGCCCCCCGGTCTCTCGACAACTTTTCCTGAGTCTTTTGGGGATTTAAACTTCAGATACAACCCTTCAGTGTGAAAATTTAAGCCTGGTCTTTTTAAAAAAAACCTTCTTTATTCCTAAACCTCTTGGGTGGGTTGAAGTATAGCCATGATCGCATTAAGCTACAGCTGCCTACCTTTTGATGGTTTTGAGACAGTTTACACACCGGGTGTGTCACCGGGGTATGGGGGGAGGAATTGGGGTTATGTGATACGGGGGCGGGATACACGTCTATTTTCATTCTGAGGCCACCTAAACTTTAGGGATCACGTAATGCACTATTATTATTATAATCTGGGGGGGGGCCTAAACCCGTAGGAATGCTAGCTAGTGAGTAGTCTGCACAAAAGGGCACCACCATGCACTTCCGTCGTAGGGTATTCAAGAAACGGGGAGGCTCACTCCAAGGTCGTTGATTCCCCTCACAACCCTTTTAAAAGAGGTCCCTTTAACCCTGGAGAGAGGCCTTGATCCGAAAACTGGACCACCCTGTTTTCCTCAAAATGAAATATGATGCCACATTCCCAAGTCGTTATCCCCCTACAGGTTTAGCGATTCCCCATAAATAAATGTAATAAAATAATTATTTTGAAGGAAAATTTGGGTTCAATTTTTTCCCGGGGAAAGTATAATATTCCCAAAGGGGTCAACAGCCCTGGATAATAGATACTCGGGTTTTTATTTAAGGGGGGGGGGGGGGGGAAATCTAGAAAAGCTTTCATCAACACCCTTTACCAACACAAGGCCCCACCTTGAAAAAAATTTTAGTTGGTCGGGAAGGAGGGGATCATCTTGCCAAAAGGGCCCCCGCACCTTGCACATAACACCATCACCATCATAAAAACCTTTTATGAGTTTCCCCAATTTTTCCTGTGATCCATACTAATTTTTCCAGGGAAATTTATTTTAAAAATTAAAAATCTAATCGCTAAAAATGTCTTTATAATCCAAAATTTTACCTTAATTTACAAGAAAAATTTAATCTTAAAAAATTAATATTAAAACTAAACCGCCCGTATATCACACAACCATTTTTTGGGGTTTTACCTGTGTGTACACTAGCCTGTTTTAGTATATAAGAAATCACCAAAGCAAGACACGGGGTTTAGGTAATCTATAAACACCCAGGACTAAAAATAACCGCTTCATTGATTTCACAAATATATTAAGACTATTATATATATAAATATATAAAAATTTTAAAAATTTTATAATAAAATATTATATATATAAATACCGAATAGGGAAAAAATTGGTCAATTAGAAAAACTCATTTTAAAATATTCTCTTAACGTTAAAAATACTGTAGTAATATATTTTCATTTATGTTAATGAAAAATTAATAATTTTGTAAAAAAAGAACCTTTAAAAATTACCTAACCTTACATAACAAGTGCAATTTAATTTAGCCAATCCAACCCAAATAATTTTAAAGGCAACTTTTTCAATAATTTTAATAATAAACAAACCAATAAATATATTTTTTTCGTTAGGTTCGAAAAACTTTTTTCGAAATTAAAGCATACACAAATTTTCGCTGCCTATTCGGCAAGAAAGCTTTATAAAAGGGAAAACTTAGTTTTACCTATTCGGGGCACGACACACACAAACACACACACACACACACACACACACACACACACACACACACAAAACCCACACACACACCCCAAAAACAGTATGTTAAGGCCCAAAAGGAGTATGCAGCCCGTCGGAATCCACACCTGGCAAGCACGTCAAGAGTTAGAGAAAGTACAAAGGTTTTTCAACAAGGCTATCCCAAAGCTCAGGGGGAAGTCGACGAGAAAGGTTGAGGGAAATCGGAAATGACGACACTGGGGGACAAAGGGCAGGGAGCATGATAACGACAACAAATACTGCGGGGAAAGACAAGGTGGAGAGAGATAGGATGTTCCAGAGAGGGACACAGAAACAAGGGGTCACAACTGGGAAACTGAAGACTCAGACGAGTCACAGACGTTGGAATATTTTTTCAGTCAAGAGTTTTTTCACAAGTGAATAGCCTAGCAATGAAGTAGTGGAGGCAGGAACCAAACATAGTTTAAAAAAGGGATGACAAAGCTCAGAAGCAGAGAGAAGAGGATCCATAGCGATCAGTGAAGAGGGGGGCCAGGGGCTGAGTCTCGACCCCCCGCAACCACAATTAGGTGAGTACATTTGGTGACGCACACCACACACCACATATTTTTTTATATAAAATATATATATATATATATATAAAATATATATATATAATAATATATATTTTATAATTTTAATATATTTTAAAATATAAATAAATATATAAAAATCGCACTGCATCCACCTGTACAAACCCCAATAGAAAAACTTTAATCCCTAAAAGGGGAATAATGTAAATTTATGAACAACACAAGGGTCCCATGGAATACACATTGATTTACCGATTAGCGATTACTCTATATATTGAAATTTCATGTGTGTGTGTGTGTCTTCACCCAGCGCCCAAGACCAATGCGAAAAATTCATGTTAATATGAAAAAAAGGACTAACTTTAGGGAAATTTATAGGGGAAAGGGGGGAAGCACACTGAGTGGCCCGGAGAAGAGCTGACGAGTGGCCCCACAATGGCTTATTCATAGTATCAAGTGGGCAAGATGAACCAATCCACAGGGTTGGCGGGTACCCACTTACTGGTGCATCATTCCCTTCCTCTTTAATATAATATTAATAAATTTTTATATATATATAAATATATTATAATTTTTAAAAATACACACACAGTATATATACCCAGACATTCTTAACGGATCTTTGTTTCAACACCTACTGGAAAATGCTTAGTGTTTTAAAGTGCTACCTGTGGGTTGAGGTATAGAGAAAATTACTGCAAGGGCTGGTGAATGTGTAATGATGGACTACTTACAGTGTTAAGATATATTATATTTAAGGGGGGATGTTAAACCCGTAGGGATGGTTCAGTGCCTGGGAAATATATCAGTCTGATCCAAGGAGTGTGTCTCACACATTCCGTAAATCAAGAATCTTTCACCAGCATCAACGTACCCCTCTTGAAACTATTTTTATATTTAGAAGGAAGAGCTAAATCCGTATAGTCACAGCGCCCGGGAAACGGAAAGCAATCAGGTGCAATCTAAGGAAAAGGGAGGACAAGTTCAACTGAGTGCATGAAGATATCCCCTCAGGAGCATCAAGGAACCTGCCTTGAGAGGTACCACCCTTGAAGGGTGGGTACTTTATAACATACAACGCAGTAGTAATGGTGCCCACTTGTTAGCTCACTCCCCCGCCCACCCGCTCTTAACACATTACAACTACATCACACTAAAACTATTTGTGCACCTTCTTATCTTTAACACTTATCAGTTTCTCTGCGCGTTAGTTATCTTTTATTCAGATTCTTGACACAAGTTTAGATTTTTACCACTATTATTTGTGTAAAGTAACTAATGTAACTAACTTGTAAGGTTAAACACTTGGCTTATTTCTGTTGGGATCCTTGTGATACATAAATATAATATACATGAATACATCAGTCATTTTTAACAAAAACAATAAAAGATACATATATCAGATACATGATTATCAAGTTAGTTTCCTGTACTTTATTAGCAGTAACAACAAAAAAAGTCATACTAAAATGAATAAATAATTTAAATGAAAATATAGTTACTTAAATATATGTTATAATTATTTTTAATCCCTATTAACAGTACAAAGTAAATATGGATATACAGTATCCTGTATTGTACACGATTATCACACGCATGAACAAAATCGGATCAAGCTACATAAATACTTCGTTGGTATAGATACATGCCGCTTTATCTTCTAAATTTATAAATGTTACCAATAAAAAGCAATATAAATGAATATATTATACCAAGGTTATATAAATATTTTAAATACAAAAAATCATTCCTCTTTTATTGTGTTGTATGACCCCAATGGAAATAAATCACAATTTACTGTCATCTTAAAATTAAATTTCTAAATAATGTGTAATATAAAGACTACTGTAAAAAATTGAACCTATGCATGAAACCTAAATACAATCTTAACCATTCGGGTTTAGTGTTTTCTTGTGAATATAAGCTTTAAAGCCGAAGGGGTCGTGCAGCAGCAATAATAATAAATTAGTGGGCAAGGCTAGACAATCCTAGCTGTAATGAAGAACTGCAGTATGCCAACTGAGCCATTATCATTTTCACGAGGGAAACACTTAAACCCATAGGTATCTTGGCACCTGGGAATGGGAGGAGGCAATAAGATTCGATCCAATGAAGAGGACAGATTCAATTCCTTAGATCAAGAGCCCCTCGCCTGCATCATGACACCAAGGGAACCGGACTGTTTTTCATTCGTGTATCAAATTAATTTTAACACACATCTAAATTATTAACAAATCACTTATTACTTAGTGTTTTAAAATCTAAATTTGTCCAATTTAAAACTATAATTACTTGCTCTCTGCGATAGTTTCACCGTCATTCCCATACATAGCCTTTCTCACCCATTCATTGTACGCCATATTATTATTATTATTATTATTATTATTATTATTATTATTATTATTATTATTATATTCATAGGAAAGTGCTATAATATGGGTCATTTGCGCCTGACGTACTTATGGCAGTGCTCACCCTCACATGACGCATGCATGCAACTTTGAGGCTAGTGCTTGTGCTCCTGTCCTCCCGCATGCTGCATAGGAGGCCTTGTACTCCCGCATGACTTGATCATGCAGCCTAGGAAGCCTTGAACTACTGCCTCTGACTTTTTCTATGCTGCTTAGGCCTTGTACTCCTGCAACCTACTCGCGCATGCTGCAGAGAACTTGTTCTGCCCCTGACTCAAGCATGCTGCCTAGGCCTTGTACTCCTGGCTGAATTATTAATGTTGCCTAGGAGGCCTAGTACTCCCACATGTCACAAATGCCTGGAGGCATTCTACTCAAATATCTGAATAACACATGCAGTCTATGAGGTCTTGTACTTCCACATCTAATGCACGCATGCACTTTAGGCCTCTTGCTACATCTGATACACATGCAGCCTAGGAGGCCAGTGTTTGTGCCACTTATATAAAAAGCAGAGAGAACCTTTACAGCCTATGTAAATTACCTAGCACCTAAATTATTGGGAACGCCTGAAGTTCTTCAAACTGTACTACTAAGAATGTAGACAAGAAAGATGCACTGTAATCTACACCATGAAAATTCTAAAGTGATTGGTCCCAAATCTACAAAGCGAAATCGCTTCCTACAAAAGCAAGAGGCTCGGCAAATAGTACAAAATCCCCCAATGAAAAGCAAAGATTTAATTATGTTAAGAGATAACTTGTTGAGTGTCAAGGGAACAAGATTTTTTAACACCCTTCATACACAAGGGAAATTACAAGGAGACTCTTAGATGCCACAGCCCCTCCTGATCAGAGGGGCTGTGGTGCCTATAATGTATTGTGTATGGCAAGCAGTAACAGCCTGAATTATCAGGTTGTCAATTGGGAATGTGACAAAGGGGCCAGTGACCCCTGGAACTGTTTGCTGGTAAATACCCCCCCCCCCCCACCAATGTACACATGCCCTAGAGGCCAAAACTTGTGCCCAAACTCGGCTCTTACACATGCAATCTACAAACCATTCTTGCATGATATACCCAAAGGTATATCATGCCACAAGCATATGGAAAACAATATATGTGTATTCTTATTCTCATTATCTGTAATCCTCACAACCAGCAACTCACAATCAGTGACAAACACATAACAATATGTACTAGACATGTATCTCTCACACCTCATGTACTGTATGTGCCATCTTTGTATCAGCAATGTATCGCTTAAATTCTGTACCACATTATGTAATAAAATATACCTATTGGTAAAAAAGAATGAAAAGATGGGGTGATACGGGAAGCGGAATATTCAAATGGCTTCAGGAAGAAATCCAAATATTCTTCCTTGAAGCCTTTTTATCCACTTCTCCGAGGCTATGGGTCCTACAATTTACACCATTAAATACTATATTGCATGTGTTAACCAGAAGACAATTTCGGGAGTCACCGCCTCAACTGCCCGGTCCAAGACCAGGGTTCACTAAAGGAATGGAAAGCAATCAGATTCAAAGGATGGGAAGTGTAGCTCCAATTTCCTGGATCAAGAGCTTTTCACCTGCATCCAGACACCTCCCTTGAATTGTGATATGCATGCAGATAAGAACGTTACATGGTGCTGTTTAGTCACTGCATTACCATATATGTGCCCTTTGTTATAAATCTGTCTATCTTCACTATGTATCTTTTTTTTGCTATTTTGTTCTCATTTTCACTAGGATCATTTTTATTATAATCAGGTAAGCACCAAACCCATATGGCCCATTAATGCCAAGAATGCAGGGGTAAACAAAAAGAGGTGAAAATGTTTTTGAAGGGCAAGGGTAAAGGAAAGGAGAAAGTCTGCTGCAATTTAGTGACAGTCAAGAAATTCATTACATACATGATTTGTCAGGATGTGCTGATAGTCCAAACATTTACCTATCTGTGTGTGCTGATAGTTCAGTCCTTTAATTTACTGTCCCATTTTTGAGAAAGTATTTTTGATTACTCCATGGCATGCATACTCTATACACCTCTTTGGGAGTCCCTCTTTTAAAGGTGGAACTCTAAAAGATGGAGACAGTGTAAGCATGCCAGGGCATTGAAAGATGAAGTGACAATTTTCTCTAAAGAATGGGACAATCAGTCAAAAGATATTGGACTATTACATAACCTAAATTCAGGCAAAGCAGCACTGGACAACCCTCCATGACATGACCATGTGTGAGTATGATGTGACCAATCCACAAGCACAACTAAGATTTGATGAAAAACTCTATAGTCACTAATGCAGACCAACACTGCCAAAACAATTACACAAGAGTCAAGCTACAACAGCACTAAGAAATCCACATCTTTATGTCCCTTTATCTTATTTAGGCTGTCTTATTTTGTATGGCATGGTCATATCTCCTCTTGAGAAAGAGAGAGAGAGGAGCATGATTTATACTGCAGTGAGATGACAAATAAAACTTTCTATAACATGATAAATTTGTACATTTAGTAAGCAAAATAATAATTTTTAGGTCAGGAAAATGTGCACAAAGAGTTTCATCACAAATCAACAGCAACAGTACAAGCAGGACATTTGATCCTAGCCTGCTGGCATTGTCTGACTTAAAATACACAAACAATGTATTCGCCGTCACACCTTAGTCCCCAGCTCTGAGCTGTTGGCCTTAAGCTACTCACTCATCATTTGGTCAGTAGTAAGTTTAACTACAGTAATATGATATTATGGTACATACTGTAATTGTCCTCTGTATAATACGATGAAATATCAACCAGTAATTGAAATTACGTATGCAAATGCAGTTGTAATCTATTGTAATAAAAAAAAAGCACTGCTGTACATCAATAATTGCTAGTGACTTGTTTTAATTAAAACTAATTTTCATTTAGTAAGATAAATGTAATATAATCCAACCTATTAGTGTGTGATGAACAAGCCATAAATCCAATGACTCTCCACAGCTCAATACATTTACTGATAACTTCCTAAGCACAACAGTCACCAATGCATTTATTCAATAATTACTCTTGAGTCTATGCTATCCTTGCACTTCAAAGGGGTTGCCTTGATACTGCTGATGGGCTCTCGAGCTAAGGAATTGGTGCTACTTTTACCTTCCTCAGATCAAACTTGATTATCTCCCATTCCTCAGGTGCTGTTATAACCCATGTATAAAATAAGTCGTCCTCCTATTTTAAATAATTCCGTTTCAGCAAGAACAAATAAGAAAAATGTGGTAAGAATGCTTGGCAGTAATGCTGAGTAAATGTAGGAAAATTGGTGTAGGTGATTGAATATGTACATCTCTCAGCCACATTCTTCCTCAAGCATTCCTACATTTCACCATCTCCACCAATCTACCAGGTAGACAGACACTTGGTGCAAAGCAACCAGAATTATAAACAGGGTTTCACTCTGGATAGAGGTTTAATCAAGTCATCTTTAACATGACTTTATAAAGTTCAACCCAGAGCAAAATAGTCTATAATACAATTTTTTTCTGAACCAAGTGTCAGTCTGCCATACACGATGGCAATACCTGCCATTCTACATATCAATCTGCCCTGTAATATAAACTATTTTCTTATCTCCAAACATGCATGATATGATTACAATACATACAAGCAATGCACTGATAATGCAGAGCCCCCTTTACCCGCATCATTCTCAACACCAAAATAAAAATAATTAGATTCACAAGAGGTCTAATAAGCTTTAATCAGGTTTCAGACTGGGCCCCTCTTTCTACCTGCCCAGGTTTTCCTTTTTTCATACTAACCCACTTTTTTTTGCATCATGCTAAATATATACAGTATTGTACATGTGTTACTGTACCAGAAAATAAAACTATTTAATCAGGTTTGATCAATGGAAAGCTAGGGTAGCTCCAATTCTCTGGATCAAGAGCCCTTCACTAGCATCAAAGCACTCCTCTCCCCAAGAAGGGGGTGATACAGTGCAGATAAAACAATCAGCTATGTCATCATCTGCCATGACACCCCCAGCCATAACTAATCTAGAATTACATTATAATTATTATTAATTTGAAATGCTAAACTTGTGTGGATCATTTGGCACAACTTACACACATTTTACTACTTATAATTAAAATAATAATGATAATAATAGACCTAGGTAGTAGGTTGGTAGACAGCAACTGCCCAGGGAGGTACTACTGTCCTGCCAAGTGAGTGTAAAACAAAAGCCTGTAATTGTTTTACATGATGGTAGGGTTGCTGGTGTCTTTTTTGTCTCGTAAACACACACAAGATTTCAGGTACGATTTTACTTCTACTTACATTTAGGCCACGCTACACATGCATGTACAAGCATATATATACACACCCCTCTGGGTTTTCTTATATTTTCTTACTAGTTCTTGTTCTTGTTTGTTTCCTCTTATCTCCATGGGGAAGTGGAACAGAATTCGTCCTCCATAAGCCATGCGTGTTCGTAAGAGGCAACTAAAATGCCGGGAGCAAAGGGCTAGTAACCCCCTCTCTTGTATACATTACTAAAGTTAAAAAGAGAAACTTGTTTTTCTTTATGGGCCACCCTGCTTTGGTGGGATACAGCTGGTTTGTTGAAAGAATAAGAATAATAATAATAGAATCAACTAAACACTAAACCTAGACTACTTGTCTTATAAACCACCATCACTGACCATATTCTATTTTCTCTTCATAGTCTACCTGTCTGGTGTCTACCTGTTGATGGTTCCAGGGGTCATCTCTGTGGCCCAGTCCCAGAACAGGCTGCCTTGTTCATGGCAGAATCAGTCAAGTTATTGGGGCTAGCAGTATGCACTACTTTCTGCTGCCTTTTAGTATTCATATTGTTCTGATAAGAATATCTGCAGTAGTGGTTCTGTTTAATTTAAAATATTATATGAAAAAAAATTGCATTAATAATTATTAATTTAGGTATGATAAATGTTTTTATGATGAAATCATTCCAGGAGAATAGCCAAGGCAATTAAATAATGGATAAACTAAATAAAACTACACGTAATAATATGACAAATAAGAATTAGAATCGCCAAACATGGAGCACCTTGAAGTAATGCCTATTAGCTCTCGAGTGGTATGTCTGAACGCCCCTCATCTGAAGTCACTGTGTGTGTTCGAAGCTCTCTCACGAACCCTAGGATGCTACTACAACCATCATCGCCCACAGGTAATTCGATTTCACTTGATATAACTCTACCAATATACCAAACTACTTTTCGTACATTTGGTACCTGATGTTTAGTCACCCTACCTTGGTGGGAAATAACCAACATGATAAAAAAGTATGGTACAGTAAATGTACTAATTATTATTTTATTATTAACACACTGGCCGATTCCCACCAAGGCAGGGTGGCCCGAAAAAGAAAAACTTTCACCATCATTCACTCCATCACTGTCTTGCCAGAAGGGTGCTTTACATTACAGTTTTTAAACTGCAACATTAACACCCCTCCTTCAGAGTGCAGGCACTGTACTTCCCATCTCCAGGACTCAAGTCCGACCTGCCGGTTTCCCTGAATCCCTTCATAAATGTTACTTTGCTCACACTCCAACAGCACGTCAAGTATTAAAAACCATTTGTCCTCATTCACTCCTATCAAACATACTCACGCATGCCTGCTGGAAGTCCAAGCCCCTCGCATACAAAACCTCCTTTACCCCCTCCCTCCAACCTTTCCTAGGCCGATCCCTACCCCGCCTTCCTTCCACTACAGACTGATACACTCTTGAAGTCATTCTGTTTCGCTCCATTCTCTCTACATTTCCGAACCACCTCAACAACCCTTCCTCAGCCCTCTGGACAACAGTTTTGGTAATCCCGCACCTCCTCCTAACTTCCAAACTGCGAATTCTCTGCATTATAGTCACACCACACATTGCCCTCAGACATGACATCTTCACTGCCTCCAGCCTTCTCCTCACTGCAACATTCATCACCCACGATTCACACCCATATAAGAGCGTTGGTAAAACTATACTCTCATACATTCCCCTCTTTGCCTCCAAGGGCAAAGTTCTTTGTCTCCACAGACTCCTAAGTGCACCGCTCACCCTTTTCCCCTCATCAATTCTATGATTCACCTCATCTTTCATAGACCCATCCGCTGAGACGTCCACTCCCAAATATCTGAATACATTCACCTCCTCCATACTCTCTCCCTCCAATCTGATATCCAATCTTTCATCACCTAATCTTTTTGTTATCCTCATAACCTTACTCTTTCCTGTATTCACTTTTAATTTTCTTCTTTTACATACCCTACCAAATTCATCCACCAACCTCTGCAACTTCTCTTCAGAATCTCCCAAGAGCACAGTGTCATCAGCAAAGAGCAACGTGACAACTCCCACTTTATGTGTGATTCTTTATCTTTTAACTCCATGCCTCTTGCCAAGACCCTCGCATTTACTTCTCTTACAACCCCATCTATAAATATATTAAACAACCACGGTGACATCACACATCCTTGTCTAAGGCCTACTTTTACTGGGAAATAATCTCCCTCTTTCCTACATACTCTAACTTGAGCCTCACTATCCTTGTAAAAACTCTTCACTGCTTTCAGTAACCTACCTCCTACACCATACACCTGCAACATCTGCCACATTGCCCCCCTATCCACCCTGTCATACACCTTTTCCAAATCCATAAATGCCACAAAAACCTCTTTAGCCTTATCTAAATACTGCTTACTTATATGTTTCACTGTAAACACCTGGTCCACACACCCCATACCTTTCCTAAAGCCTCTTTGTTCATCTGCTATCCTATTCTCCGTCTTACTCTTAATTCTTTCAATAATAACTCTGCCATACACTTTACCGGGTATACTCAACAGACTTTTTTTTTTTTTTTTTTTTCAACAAGTCGGCCGTCTCCCACCGAGGCAGGGTGACCCAAAAAAGAAAGAAAATCCCCAAAAAGAAAATACTTTCATCATCATTCAACACTTTCACCACACTCGCACATTATCACTGTTTTTGCAGAGGTGCTCAGAATACAACAGTCTAGAAGCATACACATATAAAGATACACAACATATCCCTCCAAACTGCCAATATCCCAAACCCCTCCTTTAAAGTGCAGGCATTGTACTTCCCATTTCCAGGACTCAAGTCCGACTATATGAAAATAACCGGTTTCCCTGAATCCCTTCACTAAATATTACCCTGCTCACACTCCAACAGATCGTCAGGTCCCAAGTACCATTCGTCTCCATTCACTCCTATCTAACACGCTCACGCACGCTTGCTGGAAGTCCAAGCCCCTTGCCCACAAAACCTCCTTTACCCCCTCTCTCCAACCCTTTCGAGGACGACCCCTACCCCGCCTTCCTTCCCTATAGATTTATATGCTTTCCATGTCATTCTACTTTGATCCATTCTCTCTAAATGACCAAACCACCTCAACAACCCCTCTTCTGCCCTCTGACTAATACTTTTATTAACTCCACACCTTCTCCTAATTTCCACACTCCGAATTTTCTGCATAATATTTACACCACACATTGCCCTTAAACAGGACATCTCCACTGCCTCCAACCGTCTCCTCGCTACTGCATTTACCACCCAAGCTTCACACCCATATAAGAGTGTTGGTACTACTATACTTTCATACATTCCCTTCTTTGCCTCCATAGATAACGTTTTTTGACTCCACATATACCTCAACGCACCACTCACCTTTTTTCTCTCAACAGACTTATCCCCCTATAATTTTTGCACTCTCTTTTGTCCCCTTTGCCTTTATACAAAGGAACTATGCATGCTCTCTGCCAATCCCTAGGTACCTTACCCTCTTCCATACATTTATTAAATAATTGCACCAACCACTCCAAAACTATATCCCCACCTGCTTTTAACATTTCTATCTTTATCCCATCAATCCCGGCTGCCTTACCCCCTTTCATTTTACCTACTGCCTCACGCACCTCCCCCACACTCACAACTGGCTCTTCCTCACTCCTAGAAGATGTTATTCCTCCTTGCCCTATACACGAAATCACAGCTTCCCTATCTTCATCAGCATTTAACAGTTCCTCAAAATATTCCTTCTGTACTAATATTGCCATAAAATAACTGAATTATCTTAGGTAAAAAGCACAAAATTTATGGTATTCATGCAGGTTTTATAATGTGTCTGGTTCATCAATGTCTGCATTCTCTACAAAGACTGAACACAAGAAAAAAGTCTAATAACATCATGCATGGTGTATCATTATTCTTCCATAAAATATGAATAAATTAGCTATTTATTCTGCTATTCTATATATTTTCTATATGAAGCAGACATTACATCAAGTATTTACTATTAAAGTACATATCCATATCCTACATCAACTATGATATAACCTATAATTATGCACCAGAAATATGTGGTCTTGGAGTTACAAACATGGCTTGGCAAGTCTTCTGTTAAAAAAATATGAGCAAAGACTCAAAGACACTAGAGCTAAGACCAGGTAATGGACAACAAGAGAGGTGAAAGCAAAGTAATGTTACAGGGTACAGTACTTAAATGTGGTGTCAGCTGGTTGGTCATGTTTTTTTAGGTTTACAGCTTACCGGCTACCTAAAAGTCTTTGAACCTGCTTGTCACATGTATACCACCAGTTGGGGATACTATCCCATAAAATAGGCATTACAGTAAACTCTCAGTGTATATACATAAAGAGATACATACCTCTCAATGTACCTGCTCTTGGTGTCACCCTCCTAGCATCCAAGATGTTGCATAGCACGTTTAAAATGTTTTTAATGACCAAAATTAAATCACAACATCCGTAATCAAGAGTGGTTGGTACTTTTGTTTAATAAATGTATGAAAGAGGGGAAGGTACCTAGGGATTGGCAGAGAGCATGTATAGTCCCTTTATATAAAGGGAAAGGGGACAAAAGAGACTGTAAAAATTACAGAGGAATAAGCTTACTGAGTATACCAGGAAAAGTGTACGGTAGGGTTATAATTGAAAGAATTAGAGGTAAGACAGAATGTAGGATTGCGGATGAGCAAGGAGGTTTTAGAGTGGGTAGGGGATGTGTAGATCAGGTGTTTACATTGAAGCATATATGTGAACAGTATTTAGATAAAGATAGGGAGGTTTTTATTGCATTTATGGATTTAGAAAAGGCATATGATAGAGTGGATAGAGGAGCAAGGGTGGCAGATGTTGCAAGTATTGGAATAGGTGGTAAGTTATTAAATGCTGTAAAGAGTTTTATGAGGATAGTGAGGCTCAGGTTAGGGTGTGTAGAAGAGAGGGAGACTACTTCCCGGTAAAAGTAGGTCTTAGACAGGGATGTGTAATGTCACCATGGTTGTTTAAAAATATTTATAGATGGGGTTGTAAAGGGAAATAAATGCTAGGGGGTTTGGGAGAGGGGTGGGGTTAAATTATGGGGAATCAAATTCAAAATGGGAATTGACACAGTTACTTTTTGCTGATGATACTGTGCTTATGGGAGATTCTAAAGAAAAATTGCAAAGGTTAGTGGATGAGTTTTGGGAATGTGTTAAAGGTTAGAAAGTTGAAAGTGAACATAGAAAAAAAGTAAGGTGATGAGGGTGTCAAATGATTTAGATAAAAAAAAATTGGATATCAAATTGGGGAGGAGGAGTATGGAAGAAGTGAATGTTTTCAGATACTTTGGGGGTTGACGTGTCGGCGGATGGATTTATGAAGGATGAGGTTAATCATAGAATTGATAGGGAAAAAAGGTGAGTGGTGGTTGAGGTATATGTGGAGTCAAAAAAGTTATCTATGGAGGCAAAGAAGGGAATGTATGAAAGTAAGTAGTACCAACACTCTTTATATTGGTGTGAAGCTTGGGTGGTAAATGCAGCAGCAAGGAGACGGTTTTGGGGGCGCGGGGATGTCCTGTCTAAGGGCAAGTGTGGTGTAAATATTATGCAAAAAATTCGGAGTGTGGAAATTAGGAGAAGGTGTGGAGTTTAATAAAAGTATTAAACAGAGGGCAGAAGAGGGTTGTTGAGGTGGTTTGGTCATTTAGAGAGAATGGATCACAGTAGAATGACATGGAAAGCATATAAATCTATAGGGGAAGGAAGGCGGGGTAGGGGTCGTCCTCGAAAGGGTTGGAGAGAGGGGGTAAAGGAGGTTTTGTGGGTAAGGGGCTTGGATTTCCAGCAAGCGTGCGTGAGCGTGTTAGATAGGAGTGAATGGAGACGAATGGTACTTGGGACCTGACGATCTGTTGGAGTGTGAGCAGGGTAATATTTAGTGAAGGGATTCAGGGAAACCGGTTATTTTCATATAGTCGGACTTGAGTCCTGGAAATGGGAAGTACAATGCCTGCACTTTAAAGGGGGGGTTTGGGATATTGGCAGTTTGGAGGGATATGTTGTGTATCTTTATATGTGTATGCTTCTAGACTGTTGTATTCTGAGCACCTCTGCAAAAACAGTGATAATGTGCGAGTGTGGTGAAAGTGTTGAATGATGATGAAAGTATTTTCTTTTTGGGGATTTTCTTTCTTTTTTGGGTCACCCTGCCTCGGTGGGAGACGGCCGACTTGTTGAAAAAAAAAAAAAAAAAAAAAAAACATAAAAAATTAATACCTGTACTACTATTGGTACGGCACTATTACATAACACTCGAGCATTATATTTAACACTACAATTCATAGTACAGCAATTTTACACTAGCAACTGTTTCTCTTCCCAAATAATTATCAACTAAACATGTGAATTTGTTTTATTAATGTTTTTATCTTTCAGATTGTATCTTGCCAGGGCGTGGTGAGACTTCCAGCCCCGAGGATTGTACGTATACGTGGTCATGCATCTCACACCCACACCCCTGGTGATATACCAATGCTCCACACTACCATACAGGTATCAGCTAATATTATTCTTTGACTTTTACAATACAGCACATTATTTTGTAAATGAATGTACAGTGGTACCCCGAGTTTTGGCCATACGTAATTCGTTCCAGAAGGCTGTTTTTGTGCCGTTACCAAACGAATTTGTTCCCATAAGAAATAATGTAAATTAAATTAGTCCATTTCAAACCCCCAAAAATATACTTACAAAAGCACTTAAAATAACACAACTTACATAATTGTTCAAGTTGGGAGCTGTACGAAACTCGGAGTACCACTGTACTGATAATATTTTTGGATCATATTGTAACAAGTTACCAGGGAATGAGAGATGAATCTCACAGCACTAAAGTGTTACAAAACAAGCTTCTGGGTTGCAAATTATTATTACAGACTTATATAACTGTATGTATGGATAAGCACAAAACTTAATGGCCATACAGTGCCTGGGAAATGAGCAGTAATTAAGGTTGATCTATGGAAAGGAAGGTAGCTTCAATTCCTCAGATCAAGAGCCCTTCATCAGCCTCAAGGTACCCAAGGGTTACAAAAGCTTGCTAATTCATTCTGGCAGACTGAAAAGTTACTGTGCTCTCTTACTGACCCTTTCACGAGTGACCGAATAATACTCACTTTGTAATACCACAATTATCTAAATTTTTTCTTGGCAGATGGGGACATACCTTGTGTTTCATCTCACAGACTGGGCACATGTAAGACAATGTTACTTGGTACTCAATGGCATAGAAAAAGTTCCTCGGACAAATGTTCCACCAAGAATCATACTGGAGCGTATTCACGGTTCGGAGGTTTCACAATCACTATCTCTTAAAGGTAATGTAAAATGATAAGCTATTCTAAAATACAAAGAATTACAATATAATCTGTTTCCAGATTTAAAAGGTAACATTATTTGGTACTAATGTTTTCCATGGTTATATTCAGTTATGCATGCACTACACTGTATTTTTAGGAATGATATTATAGCATTTCCTGAGAAGCAGCTCCACCTTCTGGACTCCACTTCATGGCCATTAATTGAGTGACGTAATGATTCCTCTTCCTAAGTTACTTACAAGAGGAATCATTACATCAGTCAACTAACAACCATGAAGTAGAGCAGAAACTGGGACTACTACTCAGCAAATATTCATATTAGAATACCCTCATATGCATACCTACACACCTTCCTATACATCTACATACACTTTTATGCATGTCTACACAAAACAGCCTGGCCAGTCAGAGATCAAGCCATGATTAGGGGTTGGAAGTTCAAGCCTCTACCACTTCTTGTGTTCCATGACACACAGGTTTAAAAAATACAATACATACTCCGTGACTGAATTTTTCAGCAATATAAAATGGGTCTTCATATTTCAGCCGAGATGCACCAAAATGAAAACACCAGAAATAGTGTTAGCCTGACAAGATTGCACACCTCGCCCCTTCCTGGCACTTGTATCACAACACCTCGAGAGAATCCCACCAGCCTCCCAACTCCAGCAAGAAATCCAGCCACAAGAAGAGATTCAGATTACTGCAATAACCAAGACAACCAGGGAAACTTGCAAGTTAATAACAGTATGCACATGGTAAATGACCAAAATAAAAAAGATACAGAAGAAAAAATGAATGGAACAGATGGGCAAAATGAGCAACAGCATTGCCAGATCATCCTTAATATGGCTGAGACAGAGGAAGTAACATCATTACTGGATGAGGATGAAGATGAATACACTTCAGATACATCTGATGATCTTCACAAGGTGAGCTAATTGTTATTGAACCTCATCAAATTAAAACTTATACCTGTGGGAGTTTTGAGTGTGTTCCTATTCCTGCAGCCTGGCCTGGGGCCAGGCTTATCTGTTGCTTGCCTTGTCAACTAGGCTGTTGCTGTTGGCAGCCCAATGGCCCACATATACATCACTTCCTAACTGGCATAGCTTTGTTTCTCTCATAATTGCTTGCAGTGGTTTTGTGTGACGACATGATACTCTTCTTTATCAGATACTTTTTCAAGTGGGGAATACTGTATAAATCTACAAAAACACGATTTACCTTGCAATATTGTAGTGTACTTTCTAAAATTCCTGTACACCAACGCAACACTCTGATTTATTGTACATTTATTGCTACTTAGGTGGTGCGGAAGAGACTGTCAATAGATATTACACAACTCCTAAGCCCACGCCCAAAGGATAAAATTCTAGTTTTATTATTAAGACCAGCTGAGGAGACACAAGCCTGGCAGTTTCTGTCATCATGTATGAAGGTAAACACTATACTGTGAAACTTCATGGTAAATAGACACTAATCTACTTACTGATTGCCAATAATTTTTTATGTCTTCTTCTTTCAACGTACCATATTATATTATAAAGTATATTATAAATCAATAAAAAAAATTGAAGATTTTGCAATATAGATAAAATGTATATTATGCAATTTTCTAAACACTAATAATATACTTAAATATTTTGTTGAAGTGAACATGTGCACCTTATATTTTTTTACTGATAATCCTTTATATAATGCAGCACAAATTTAAAATAATGTATACAGCATTTCATTTTCACTGGCTAACACAGCTAACTTTTAGTCAAGGCATTTACACAAGTACATTTACTTTCTGTCAGGTAACTCACTCCAGCAGCAAAACCATGGTGATGGAAGGTACTGGCACCATCAAAAAGGCACTTACCAGAACAAAGCCTCTATATTTCTCTAAAAATGGAAATGTGCATAGACTCTAAGTCAACTTTATGGATTACTAGTCTTAAATGATCATTTGTTCATACTCATCGAAATATGTACCTGAAACATACTTAATGCTTTTAATTTCTATGACCATCTTTAAAATTGCTAATTATTGCTCTGCTAATTTATAAAGTTTAAGAACAAACAGCATTCATTCTGCTGTAGATGTATATGTTACATATATTGAAGAAAACCATTAAGCTTACTGAATTTATTCAGCTCTGTCTGTAGTTCTATACAAATTTTTCACAGCAGTTTCAAGAAGTAAATTAACATGAGAGTAGTAATTACCAGATTACCTCTATGTGATTTCCCATTTATAGTGTCTTAACCTTTTAACTGTGTGTGACATACATGTAATAAAGGCTTGCTGACCCATACTAGGCAGGTCTTACAATCAACAATCTTATATGTCTAATCTATTTTTAAAACATCCCAAGGTTGGGAATCTGAGTGCAACTTGCACAAATTCTAGTGAGCTCAAATTAAGACCATTGTGATGTAATTTATGTCAGACAAACATCTTATGCTGCAAATTTACAGGACATCCAGTAAAAATATCCACATATACTTTTGTGTCCCACCAGGGAGGATGCTTAGTGAGTCATGTAATGAGGGCAGTATTTTAAGGGAAGAGTAAACTAGTGTTACTGTACTGTATACTGTAATAACATTGCAGACTGCAGTAATAGTGACAGTGGGTAAAACAACATATATTGTCATGAAGACAGTAAATATAATGCATGTAAAAAAAAGAACAAGCATGCCAGCACTTTCTTTCAGTAAACTTTTTTAAGAATGTTAAATTTAATGAGGTTTGCAAAATATCTGAAGATGAGGCCTGGTCATGGACCTGGCCATGGGGGCATTGACCCCCAAAACACCCTCCAGGTAAGTGGGCAAAATGATTACCAAAGGAACCAAAATGTTCCCAATCCATTTCTCACATCAACTGTTATTCTCTTATGAAAAGGAACTTTAAAGCAATTGGCGATACCAGAGAAACACATTACTGCATTGTCATTCTCCTATGGGCTGAACTGAATTCACCTGACCCAGCACAAACCCCAATATAAAAAACCATAGGATTTTTTCAAAAAAGTTCCTAGTGGATTTCTCAACCTCAAATTTCTCTTTCTTTCTGTAAACTCTCTCTCTTTTAAGCATCAATATTAACTAGATTAGAGAGATAGTTAAAGAATTATGATCAATAAACAATCTAATAGCCAGACCAGGAATGAGATTTTTCTGGAAAATAATCTCAATAAATTTCTCCACACCTGAAGTTGGTTTCTCTGTGTCACCCACATTATGAGAGGTTCAGTGAAACTAAAAACCACAAATACAAAATTAAGCCTACATAACAAATTTTGTTTCAAATCTGGATTCACTGTCTCTAATGCATGTATCTCTAACTTTTTTTTTTTAACACTGGCCGTCTCCCACTGAGGTAGGGCAACCCAAAATAAGAAACAGTTTCACCATCATTCACACTATCACTATCTTGCCTGAGTTATACAGATATGACAGTTCAGATGTCCCTCCAATTAACATTACAAGAAATAATGAGATGAATAAAAATGAATTTGGGTTAGGTTAAGTCAGTGAGCTAGAAAAACACTGGATAATTAATTCGCTGGTTGAATAATTGAAACCTGTGAACTTATAAAAATAAATGGTTAACCCTAGAATGATACTACTCTGCTTCACAGAAATACAGCCATTCTCCTTTATGAGCTAGGTTTGGATGTTGATTTTTTAGTTATTTTTGTTTATATTATTTGCTTATTACATGTATTAATATTTCGTATATGGCATGCTCATATTTTTTTTGACTGATATGTGACCACTGATGTGAAAACCAATCATAGATAAACTATTAAAATACAGATTTAAGTAATGTCATAGAAAGATTTTTGGAACCAATGCCAGAGAGTTTTACTTATCATTAACGAAGGCTTTTATCTAACCTATTCTGTTAAGTCATCTTTCACATTTTATAAACATGAATCTAGTCTAGATGGAAGGAATTAAGGTTAAGAAAAAGAAAATACAATAGATATTTACAACAAATACAAAGATGTGGATACACAGACAGCTTAATGAATAAATAAGGTATATCGACAATGCATATACAGTGGTACCCCGAGTTTTGTACGTAATTCGTTTCAGAAGGCTGTTCAAGTGCCGTTACCGAACTAATTTATTCCCATAAGGAATAATGTAAATTAGATTAGTCCGTTTCAGACCCCCAAAAATACACTTACGAAAGCACTTACAATAATACACTTACATAACTGTTAGAGTTGGGAGCAGTACGAAACTCAGGGTACCACTGTACGTATGTATGTTTATACAGTACGTACAGACAAGAGTTACTATTAAATATTTTCACAAAAGAAGGGGCTCAGAGGTTACCTATACTGTCAATATACAGCATTTCATTAAAAGCTAAACCTACATAGGTCACTAAGTGAAGGGTATGGTGTAGGCTCGATATGACCGCTAATCGTAAGATGGTCTCTGACAAGTTGGGATGTTGGTAATCGCATCTCTGAATCTACAGTGTCTTAAAAAATAATGCACTCTTTTATCCTTTCTTAACATTTCACTTATTGCACACTTATTTTAAGCACTTTTTATTAGCTATCTTTTCTTATTAACAGTGAAGATACTAATGAATGGGAGGGTCTAAAAAGACTACTTTACATAGATAAATTTATGAAGAAATTCCTACAAAATATTTGACAATATGAAAAAAATACCAGTAAAAAGGCAGAACAGAAACATCTGAGTACTCATGTGTGTAAATATATGCCGGTGCCATTATATTTTTCTGTAGATAAATATATAGATATCCAGACTTCCAGCGAGCGTGCGTGAGCGTGTTAGATAGGAGTGAATGGAGACGAATGGTATTTGGGACCTGATGAGATGTTGGAGTGTGAGCAGGGTAATATTTAGTGAAGGGATTCAGGGAAACTGGTTATTTTTATATAGCCAGACTTGAGTCCTGGAAATGCCTGCACTTTAAAGGAGGGGTTTGGGATATTGGCAGTTTGGAGGGATATGTTGTGTATCTTTATATGTAGATGCATCTAAACTGTTATATTCTGAGCACCTCTGCAAAAACAGTGATTATGTGTGAGTGAGGTGAAAGTGTTGAATGATGATGAAAGTATTTTCTTTTTGGGGATTTTCTTTCTTTTTGGGTCACCCTGTCTCGGTGGGAGATGGCCGACTAGTTTAAAAAAAAACAAAAAAAAAAAATATGCAGACCAGTGATAGACTAACATAAGAGCAAATGGGACAGTTGCCCCAGGCCTCTTGGTATGAGGGGCTCCAAGGCTTCATTAGTATTAAAAACTAATCACTTTAGTGGAACAAGAGAAATCTTTTCTTTTCTTTTTTCAACAAACTGGCTGTATCCCACCGAGGCAGGATGGCCCAAAAAGAAAAACAAAAGTTTCTCTTTTCAAATTTAGTAATTTATACAGAAAGGGTTACTAGCCCCTTGCTCCCGGCATTTTGGTCACCTCTTACAACACGCATAGCTTACGGAGGAAGAATTCTGTTCCACTTCCCCACGGAGATAAGAGGAAATAAACAAGAACTAGAAAGAAAATAGAAGAAAACCCAGAGGGGTGTGTGTATATATACGCTTGTACATGTATGTGTAGTGTGACCTAAGTGTAAGTAGAAGTAGCAAGATGTACCTGAAATCTTTCATGTTTATGAGACAGAAAAAAGACACCAGCAATCCTACCATCATATAAAACAATTACAGGTTTCCGTTTTACACTCACTTGGCAGGATGGTAGTAACTCCCTGGGTGGTTGTTGTCTACCATCCTACTACCAGGACAGTAGTACCTCCCTGGGTGGTTGTTGTCTACCATCCTACTACCAGGACAGTAGTACCTCCCTGGGTGGTTGTTGTCTACCATCCTACTACCAGGACAGTAGTACCTCCCTGGGTGGTTGTTGTCTACCATCCTACTACCAGGACGGTAGTACCTCCCTGGGTGGTTGTTGTCTACCAGCCTACTACCAGGACAGTAGTACCTCCCTGGGTGGTTGTTGTCTACCAGGGCGGTAGTACCTCCCTGGGTGGTTGTTGTCTACCAGCCTACTACCAGGACGGTAGTACCTCCCTGGGTGGTTGTTGTCTACCAACCTACTACCTAGAAATGTCATTACTAATTTCAAATAAATGTGAAATTTTATTATGCATCACTTTCTAGAATTATGGTAATTATAAGCATGAACAGACTTTGAAGCCTAAATATATTGCAAACAGTACTGCACATAATCGACAATCAACTGCATATAATCCAGTAAATCATCGATTATTTCAGTATCCAGTGGCATTGTTCACATAGAGCACCTGAACATGTAATGCAAAAAAAGGAATGTGAAAGCAATATTGACCAAACAAAATGAGGCGACTGTCTGGTGTTTTTTTAGAATTGGGCGAAACTTCTGGATAATCAATGCCCCAGGGTCCTATTTGCTCTTAATCCACCAATGAAGCAGAAGTTAATATATTAGTGTACTCACCATAACACCTCAGCTACCTTGGGGTGGTTGGCATCCTCTACTATGCTGGGCACAAAACTGATGATTTCTTGCTGGATCTGAAATTGCAAAATACATAAGACTGTGACAACATTCAATAGATTTTATACAGTACTATGAATTTTTGCATTTTCACCGACAAATGTATGTGAGGTATTAACCTTCTCAGTAATATTAATATACGGTATATACTGTGGTAACAGAAAGCCACCATTTATCAGAGACAAAGAATTAATATCATTATCACAGGGCCTCTTCAGCTGGAAGGAAATTATGTGATATGGCACTGATACTGGTTCTTTGTCTTCATTAACCAGTAAACGGTCCAAGCAGATCTACGTTCACATGTGTAGTGCTACAAAAGTAGAACTACGTTTTTTTTACATATTTTCAAATATAACAAAAAAAAGTAGATCAAAGTTTTTTTTTACACATTTTCAAATGTAAAAAAAACAAAAAGAAGATCTACTTTTTTTACATACTTTCAAATGTTGAAAAAACGTATATATACGTTTGGACCGTTTACGGGTTAAATATAGTAGTGATATTTCTGTCATTGTAACATTATAAAGACATACTCTTACTGTGTCACTTAGAAACATTTTTATGGGAGAGAAAACATATCCAGTAATAAAGGAGTCCAGAGTCTCCCACTATATATGAAATTGGAGGAAAGAGAAATAACTTCAGTAAAATCAAGGTATAAACAGCATCAGCACCCACACATCACAGAAAATGTTAGAACATTAGGCAGTGTGTAATTAGATGTGACTATATACTAAAGAACTTTTGTTACAGAAGACTTATCTTCCATTGAGAATTAAAAGTGCATTGTATGTTATTTGACTGTAATAAACTTTTCAAGAATATTCTGAGTTGTCATTTGAAAATAATCCATACTCATTTAGGGAAAACTGGTCACTATGGAGAAGGAACAGAATGCAAAGGAAAGGAAGAAGTTCTGAGATTTAAAGACTTTTTTACATTGTAGATCACTCAACAATGTTGGATATAAAAAAAACACAAGAATACCTAACGAAAATAACAACAACAAAAACTGCTAGCATGAAATCCCTCACTGATGCACAGGCAAGGAAGAAGATTGGCAATACTAATGAAAGACACAAACTAGTCTGTGTATTTTTTTTAAACACACTGGCCATGGGCAGGAGAAAAAAAAACTGGGCTGTAAAAGTTAAAGACAATGAAACAGTTTCTCCAACAAAAAATTGACAATATGGTAAAACCTACCATTAACGGATTTTGGTAATTTTAAACAAAAAACAAAATTGGCCAGACAAACAAAAGTATTGGACAAAATGAAAAAAGTCCACAATTCTGGATTTTGTCTGTAGCAACAGCATCCGATTGTCTTCTGAAACATCAGACCAAGCCCATGGTAGAAAGTGTGATGAATGGTTCTGAAAACCGACAATGGTAGAAAGCTTGAAGAAGCAGGGCATAAATGGTATGTTCAATAATGTTCTGTTGGTGTTAATTTCAATGGTGTTGATCCTTGCTCTGCTCCTCATAGGCTAGCAAAGCATATGAACAAACATTTACATTATTTTCATTAGTAAAGCTTTATAGCTCCTCTGAATCAGAATAAACGTTATTCATAGCCACCACTAATAATCATGGCAGTTTACACCTTGTCTCTCCACTATGAAAAGCTAAGTAAAACTGCTGTAGAGTACTATAAAATTACTATACAATACAGTACTGTACTGTAATACATGTAACTACTATATCTGTATTCTTAGTGTCCTGTTGTCTTCTGAACCAGTGGACCAAGTTTGATGGTTCATTAGACAATCATGAAAAATTAATATCAGCAATATCGTACACCCTCTCCCCACATTAATCTGTTAAGCAGAGAGTGCACTGTATCAGCCTTAAATTGGATCTTTCAGAAAAGAGAGCTACAGTGAGAATAGTAGAAAATGAAAGGATTAAGCCTCTTAATCATTATCATTCTAGCATCACAAGGTATCAATGAATAAGATATTTATCTTTACAGATGTAAAGTAAAAGGACACAAGTGCAACTAATGTGACATTTTATTGTGGCAACGTTTCGCTCTCCAGGAGCTTTATCAAGCCATTAATGGCTTGATAAAGCTCCTGGAGAGCAAAACGTTGCCACAATAAAATGTCACATTAGTTGCACTTGTGTCCTTTTACTTTACATATTGTCGGTAATTCTACCAACTTTATTACAATCTTTACAGATAACAACATTTTGCCAACAGGCAAAATAATAGCATTTTTGAACAAAAAAATTTTTTTTTTTTTTTTCAACGTCGGCCGTCTCCCACCGAGGCAGGGTGACCCAAAAAAGAAAGAAAATCCCCAAAAAGAAAATACTTTCATCATCATTCAACACTTTCACCACACTCGCACATTATCACTGTTTTTGCAGAGGTGCTCAGAATACACAGTTTAGAAGCATACACATATAAAGATACACAACATATCCCTCCAAACTGCCAATATCCCAAACCCCTCCTTTAAAGTGCAGGCATTGTACTTCCCATTTCCAGGACTCAAGTCCGACTATATGAAAATAACCGGTTTCCCTGAATCCCTTCACTAAATATTACCCTGCTAACACTCCAACAGATCGTCAGGTCCCAAGTACCATTCGTCTCCATTCACTCCTATCTAACACGCTCACGCACGCTTGCTGGAAGTCCAAGCCCCTTGCCCACAAAACCTCCTTTACCCCCTCTCTCCAACCCTTTCGAGGATGACCCCTACCCCGCCTTCCTTCCCCTATAGATTTATATGCTTTCCATGTCAATCTACTTTGATCCATTCTCTCTAAATGACCAAACCACCTCAACAACCCCTCTTCTACCCTCTGACTAATACTTTTATTAACTCCACACCTTTTCCTAATTTCCACACTCCGAATTTTCTGCATAATATTTACACCACACATTGCCCTTAAACAGGACATCTACACTGCCTCCAACCGTCTCCTCGCTGCTGCATTTACCACCCAAGCTTCACACCCATATAAGAGTGTTGGTACTACTATACTTTCATACATTCCCTTCTTTGCCTCCATAGATAACGTTTTTTGACTCCACATATACCTCAACGCACCACTCACCTTTTTTCCCTCATCAATTCTATGATTAACCTCATCCTTCATAAATCCATCCGCCGACACATCAACTCCCAGGTATCTGAAAACATTTTCTTCCATACTCCTCCTCCCCAATTTGATATCCAATTTTTCTTTATCTAAATCATTTGATACCCTCATCACCTTACTCTTTTCTATGTTCACTTTCAACTTTCTACCTTTACACACATTCCCAAACTCATCCACTAACCTTTGCAATTTTTCTTTAGAATCTCCCATAAGCACAGTATCATCAGCAAAAAGTAACTGTGTCAATTCCCATTTTGAATTTGATTCCCCAAAATTTAATCCTACCCTCTCCCGAACACCCTAGCATTTACTTCCTTTACAACCCCATCTATAAATATATTAAACAACCATGGTGACATTACACATCCCTGTCTAAGACCTACTTTTACCGGGAAGTAGTCTCCCTCTCTTCTACACACCCTAACCTGAGCCTCACTATCCTCATAAAAACTCTTTACAGCATTTAATAACTTACCACCTATTCCATATACTTGCAACATCTGCCACATTGCTCCTCTATCCACTCTTCATATGCCTTTTCTAAATCCATAAATGCAATAAAAACTTCCCTACCTTTGTCTAAATACTGTTCACATATATGCTTCAATGTAAACACTTGATCTACACATCCCATACCCACTCTGAAACCTCCTTGCTGATCCGCAATCCTACATTCTGTCTTACCTCTAATTCTTTCAATTATAACCCTACCGTACACTTTTCCTGGTATACTCAGTAAACTTATTCCTCTATAATTTTTACAGTCTCGTTTGTCCCCTTTCCCTTTATATAAAGGGACTATACATGCTCTCTGCCAATCCCTAGGTACCTTCCCCTCTTTCATACATTTATTAAACAAAAGTACCAACCACTCCAACACTATATCCCCCCCTGCTTTTAACATTTCTGTCATGATCCCATCAGTTCCAGCTGCTTTACCTCCTTTCATTCTACGTAATGCCTCACGTGCCTCCCCCACACTTACATTCTGCTCTTCTTCACTCATGACCAGTGCATGAAATTACTGCCTCTCTTTCTTCCTTAACATTTAAAAGTTCCTCAAAATATTCTCGCCATCTACCTAATACCTCCATCTCCCCATCTATTAACTCCCCTACTCTGTTTTTAACTGACAAATCCATACTTTCCCTAGGCTTTCTTAACTTGTTTAACTCACTCCAAAATTTTTTCTTATTTTCATTAAAATTTCTTGACAGTGCCTCTTCCACTCTATCATCTGCTCTCCTTCTGCACTTTCTCACCACTCTCTTTACCTTTCTTTTACTCTCTGAAGTGTTCAGCATTTAAAAGTATGTTTATGAAAGCCTTAATGATTTCTTACCTTGAGTGGTGATCCCTGAATAATATCCACAATCTTTGCAGTTAGTATGTCAGAGTCCACAATGCAGTCTAACCATTTGAGGTTGGCCAATACTAGGTTTGGAATGTTTGCTTGACTGCTGCTTCTGTAGGAAAAACAGAAGCTGTTATCAACAAAAGACATGGAATTAAAGGAAAATCTGAAACCCTTGTCAGGCTAAAAGTAGATAACAGACTAAGAGAAGATAACGAACTAATTAAAAATAAACTACTGTACCATCACACTTCTACTGTATCATCACCTCTCAATTAATTATCCAATCACTATATAATTTGATTTTTAAAAACCCATTTGCTCTAAGTACAGAATGTCCTGTACTGCTCTTTATAATAAATAGTAGTGCTGTATGACAAACATGGGTTAGTGCTATTTTGCAAATCTAATTACGTATTTAATACTATATATAGACAGTAACTAGCTGACAATGTAGCCAATGAGATGGCTAAGACCATTTGTGTCAAGACCATAATGAATTACTGATGAACTTTATTTAATTTTAAAGACCATATGAAGTAGCATAATCCCATCTGTTTGCAGCTATGTACATCTCAAATATCGTGTAAAGGCAAGTGCCCCAATATACTGTACCTAAGAGGGGATGGGGAGTCTGAAGAATGAATGTACCATATACATATGATCATGTATATGAATGTAACAAAACTTACTCATCATCGTTGGCAACCTCCAGAAGCTTTTCTGTTAACAGTGTAATAAGGCATGGTTGGAGCTCTTCTATGTTGAGACATAAACGAATAAGGGAGTCCTGTTGTCCTCCACGTGCAGTTACACAATCTTTTTCTGTCTGAAAAAAGGCAAGTGTAGTTTCACTAAACTAGACAAAATATAGTGCCCTGCTACTTAACCCATAAAAATATTAAAATCATTCATAACATTATAACATTACTCATGAAATCGTAATAACCCGACTGCAAAAAAACCATGGGATGGATAGGGTTTAAACCCATGGCAAGTAAGCCTGGCCTGGAGTTTTATGACTCATTCACCATGGATTCAAACCCCACCCATTCTGTGGTTTGTTATAACATTAAAAATCTTCTAATATTAACATTTGTGAATGCAAAAGTAATGAAGTTGCAGTACCTGAGTATATAGCAGTGCCCATTTCAGCCTTACTGGGTCTTCAATGTGATCCTCTAATCCCTTTACAAACTTTTCAGCTATTTCTGGCATTCGATAAAGTGGATGAGACTTTAAACTCCATCGAAGATCACGCTGAAAAATTGCCTGATCGCAATCTGAAAATCAAATTACATAAACAAAAGCCAATTCTTCCAAAATTTCTGGTAGTTTGTGCTATACAACTTTACATTAAACAGGTTTAACAATGTAATCAGGTAAATACTACCCTGCCTAGTACTAGAATTTTCAGGTGTGCAGCCTCAATGTAGTGGGAACTAATTAAACCAGAATATTTATTTACATTGCTTGAATGAGTAGTTAATCTGTAAAATGAATAAGCCATACAAATACTCCTGTTGAAAAGTTACTGTAGAATATTGATTATTTATGGCATGAAATAGCATGTAAAGCATATTTATATACACAGGAATCCTAGTGGATGAAACAATAAAGCTTATGAGTACTGTATTTCACAGGTAAGGACAAGTATCCATGAACCATCATATAGACAGCTGGACCCTTATATGCTGTCATATTAAGGTAGACACTGGTCAGAGAAATAGCAAACATTGAACTTAAGCTAAAGGAATCTTATAGGAGTCAGGAATCGCGGGGAGAACTAAAAGCCATAAATGAAATCGAAAGAAACCCAAAGTATTTTTTTTCTTATGCCAAATCAAAGTCGAGAACAACATCCAGTATTGGGCCCCTACTTGAACAGGATGTGTCCTACACAGATGACAGCAAGGAAATGAGTGAGCTACTCAAGTCCCAGTATGACTCAGTTTTTAGCAAGCCGCTAACCAGACTGAGAGTCGAAGATCAAAATGAATTTTTTATGAGAGCCACAGAATTTGGTAAATACAAGCCTATCTGATGTTATCCTGACGCCAAATGACTTTGAAAAGGCGATAAATGACATGCCCATGCACTCTGCCCCAGGGCCAGACTCATGGAACTCCGTGTTCATCAAGAACTGCAAGAAGCCCCTATCACGAGCTTTTACCATCCTATGGAGAGGGAGCATGGACACGGGGGTCGTCCCACAGTTACTAAAAACAACAAACATAGCCCCACTCCACAAAGGGGGCAGTAAAGTAATAGCAAAGAACTACAGACCGATAGCACTAACATCCCATATCATAAAAATCTTTGAAAGGGTCCTAAGAAGCAAGATCGCCACCCATCTAGATACCCATCAATTACACAACCCAGGGCAACATGGGTTTAGAGCAGGTCGCTCCTGTCTGTCCCAACTACTGGATCACTACGACAAGGTCCTAGATGCACTAGAAGACAAAAAGAATGCAGATGTAATATATACAGACTTTGCAAAAGCCTTCGACAAGTGTGACCATGGCGTAATAACGCACAAAATGCATGCTAAAGGAATAACAGGAAAAGTTGGTAGATGGATCTATAATTTCCTCACAAACAGAACACAAAGTGTAGTAGTCCACAGAATAAAGTCTGAGGCGGCTACGGTGAAACGCTCTGTTCCACAAGGCACAGTACTCGCTCCCATCTTGTTTCTCATCCTCATATCCGACATAGACATGGATGTCAGCCAGAGCACCGTGTCTTCCTTTGCAGATGACACCCGAATCTGCATGACAGTGTCTTCCACTACAGACACTGCAAAGCTCCAGGCAGACATCAACCAAATCTTTCAATGGGTTGCAGAAAACAATATGAAGTTCAACGATGAGAAATTTCAATTACAGTGGACCCTCGACCAACGTTGGCATCGTATAACGTTAAATCCGACTAGCCATACATTCTAACGCAATATTTTTGCCTCGACCAACGCGATTCATTCCATTCGAGACACGTCCACATGTGGCCTGCACAGTGTTTACAAGCCAGCCACCGCGGTTGCATCCAAACGTACAATCGGAACATTTCATATTATCACAGCGTTTTTAGTGATTGCACCTGCAAAATAAGTCACCATGGGCCCCAAGAAAGCTTCTAGTGCCATCCCTCTGATAAAAAGGGTGAGAATTAGTATGGAAATTAAGAAAGATTTTGAAGGGTTTGGGCTAACCCTGAGATGCCTATGCCAGTTGTGGAATCCATTGTGCCTACTTCAAAGATTAAGGAAATGTGTGCAAAGTGGGTTGAACTGCAAACCTTTATGGATGAAAATCACCCTAACACAGCTATTGCAAGCCGTGCTGGTGACTATTACAATGACAATGTTGTGGCCCATTTTAGACAAATCGTAAAGGAACGGGAGGTACAGAGTTCTATGGACAGATATGTTGTGTGACAGAGGTCCAGTGACTCTCAAGCTGGTCCTAGTGGCATTAAAAGAAGAAGGGAAGTAACCCCGGAAAAGGGCTTGACACCAATTCCTAATGGAAGGGGATTCCCCTTCTAAACACTAACACCATCCACACTCTCCCCTCCTCCCATCCCATCAATCATCACCAGATCTTCAATAAAGGTAAGTGTCATGTAACTGTACATGTCTTCTTCAGTTTGTGTGTATTAAAATTAATATTTCATGTGGTAAAATTTTTTTTTTTTTTTCAATACTTTGGGGTGTCAGGAACAGATAAATTTGATTTCCATTATTTCTTATGGGGAAAATTAACTCGACTAACGATAATTTCGACTAACGATGAGCTCTCAGGAATGGATTAATATCGTTGGTCGAGGGTCCACTGTACTCCGATATGGTAAACATGAGGAAATTAAAACTTCATCAGAGTACAAAACAAATTCCGGCAACAAAATAGAGCGAAAAGCCAACGTCAAAGACCTGGGAATGATCATGTCGGAGGATCTCACCTTCAAGGACCATAACATTGTATCAATCACATCTGCTAGAAAAATGACAGGATGGATAATGAGAACCTTCAAAACTAGGGATAACAAGCCAATGATGACACTCTTCAGGTCGCTTGTTCTATATAGGCTGGAATATTGCTGCACACTAACAGCACCTTTCAAGGCAGGTGAAATTGCTGACCTAGAAAATGTACAGAGAACCTTCACGGCGCGCATAACGGAGATAAAACACCTCAATTACTGGGAGCGCTTGAAGTTCCTGAATCTGTACTCCCTGGAACGCAGGCGGGAGAGATACATGATTATATACACCTGGAAAATCCTAGAGGGAGTAGTACCGAACTTGCACACGAAAATCACTCACAACGAAAGCAAAAGACTAGGCAGACGATGCAACATCCCCTCAATGAAAAGCAGGGGTGTCACTAGCATGTTAAGAGACAATACAATAAATGTCAGGGGCACGAGACTGTTCAAATGCCTCCCAGCATACATGAGGGGGATTACCAACTGACCCCTGGCTGTCTTCAAGCAGGCACTGGACAAGCCCCTAAAGTCGGTACCTGATCAGCCGGGCTCGTACGTTGGATTGCGTGTGGCCAGCAGTAACAGCCTGGTTAATCAGGCTCTGATCCACCATGAGGCCTGGTCACAGACCAGGCCGCGGGGGCATTGACCCCCGGAACTCTCTCCAGGTAAACTCCAGGTACTGCTGCATATTACATATACATTATACTAAACAAATTTACAGTGAAAATTATAACTGAGCTCTGCTCAGACCTCTGCAACACAATTGTCCTCAAAGATTTGTTAAGTTATGTATCATGAATTAAGGAAAGATCCTGGACTTCCTTATGAAACTGAGAAAGTAATGAGATAGTAATTATGGACAGGGTAGATTATAGTGGAAAAATGAGCATGTTATTAGAAGACAGGGGTACTTATGTGCCCCTTAAAATACTTTTTTTTTTTTTTCAGCAAGTCGGCCATCTCCCACTGAGGCAGGGTGACCCAAAAAAAGAAAGAAAATCCCCAAAAAGAAAATACTTTCATCATCATTCAATACTGTGTATGAACTGCAAAATAAATCATCATACATACTCAACAGATTAGGGATGTCTCCTTTCTTCAGTATGTATCCTGCTTTGGACACCAGCTCACCAAAAAGAGAATCATCATTTAGTGTATCATTCTCTTTTTTGCTCACTTTATTTTGAGATTTTTTCACCTTTCTTGGACTATCAAACAAGTCTTCACTCATTTCTTCTGTATTCACAATCGGCCTTTTTCTTATTCGTGACATCATTGATAATTGATTTAAAATCTGTTAAAAATACATATATATGTACAGTAAGATGCAATGAAGAAGTATAAAATTAAATTTAGTCTAGCCAGTATATCAGTGAAAATAATAATGTTTCAAATTGGGGCCATAATGCCAACAGTGGTGGTAAAGAACTAGTAATTGCAGTAGTCCTTTATTTATATATTTTATGTATGAGTGGACATTTTCAAGTATTGTTCTCTACTTGAAAAGCCCACCCATACATAAAATTTATCAATAAAGGACTTCATTATATTTAGTGTCTTTAACATTAATAACATTAATAATAACAATAATACCAATAATAATAATAATAATAATAATAATAATAATAATAATAATAATAATAATAATAATAATGATAATAAAATAATAAAGACAATAACAGAATAATAATAATAATATTATACTACAAGAAAAAGAAAACTACTGATATATGTATATAGATGTATGTGCCATAACTCAAAGAACCAATTTTTACCACAAGTATAGAACAGCATCACTAAGAATTATCATAAAACAATACAGTATTCACAAATACTATTATAAACCCCATCAGTATGAAATAAAACATGTTTACCAGTGTATTATTATCTTCATGGAGAGACACTAATCTGTAGGGGTCAAACCACCACTGTGGATATGATATAATTAGGTTTGATCCATCGAACAGGAGAACAGCTTCAATCCTTTGGATCAAAATCCCTTCAGAATTAAGATAAAACACGTGTATACAGAAATTATTTTACAGGATTTAATCACTTCTAAAGTGCAAGTACACTAAATATATCTTTGGAAATCTAAAGTTTGTTTAAAATTTTCATTTTTAGAGAGATTTTCAAACAACGTGAAATAAATGATAAATCTCTACATAAATAATATATACAAAAAATATTTGCCTAGTGCATGGTGAACATAGGTTGTATATCCTGTTATATGTATTGTAAAATGTAAATAAATGCTCGATCCTGCCAAGTAGTATATTGACCCAGGAAAAGGGTAGGTATCTCCCATTCAGGGGTAGCTCCAAAAGTTTTATAAGAGAGGGGCTTAGAGGTGGCAGTCTAGTCGGAAAATAGGGAGGGCTAGGGTCATGTCTAAAAGTAGCATTATTATTAATTTTAAGATAAGATTTGTTGGAATTTTTTTTACCTGGGGGAGGGTTAGTCACCCAGGATAACCCACGAAAGTCAGTGAGTCATCGAGGACTATTTGTCTTATTACCATTGGGGTCCTTCAATCTTGGCCCCCAGGATGTGACCCATACCAGTCAACTAACACCCAGGTACCTACTTACTGCTAGGTGAACAGAGACAGCAGGTGTAAGGAAACATGCCCAACGTTTCTACCCGTATCTGGGATTGATCCACAGACGATCATTGCATGAGGTGAGAGCGTTCCCTACTAGAAGATAGAATTTTAGGGAGTATATCTACCTGGAGTATACTTGGAGAGGGTTTTGAGGATCAACGCCCCTACGGCCCGGTCTGTGACCAGGACTCACTGTGGATCAGGGACTGATCGACCAAGATGTTACTGCTGGCTACACGTAAACTGACATACAAACTACAACCCGGCTGGTCAGATACTGACTTTAGGTGCCTGTCCAGCGCCTTCTTGAAGACAGCCAGGAGTCTATTGGTAATCCCTCCTTATGTATGCTGGGAGGCAGTTGAACAATCTTGGGTCCCTGACACTTATTGTCTCTTAGCATACTCAGCCTTCCCCCCCTTTCCCCATTTGCCTCTCACTGGCACTGCCCCTGCTCCAGTTCCTTAGAACAAGAACTTTTAGTCTGCTTCATGATACCTTAAAGAATAAAAACACAATACCATGGCTGGAATTAATCACCAAAAACCTGCACTTAGAAGAGGAAGTAAGTTTATTTCGGTACAGATAAAAATGTGTACAATTATCATACAGGCAAGGAAGAAGACTGACAATACTAATGAAAGACACACAAACTAGTCTGGGTATTTTTTTTAAACACACTGGCCAAGGGCAGGAGAAAAAAAAATTGGGCTGTAAAAATTAAAGACAATGAAACAGTTTCTCCAACAAAAAATTGACAATACAGTGGACCCTCGACCAACGTTGGCATCGTCTAATGTTAAATCCGACTAGCGATACATTTTAGCGCAAAAATTTTGCCTCGACTAGCGCTAAAAAACCTGACCAACGCTATTTGTTCCGTTCAAGACGCGTCCACGTTGGCCTGAGCGCGCCTCACTTGTCCCGTGGGTGCCAGTATTACAAGCCAGCCAGCCACCAGGGTCCCATCCAAACATACAATCGGAACATTTCATATTATCACAGTGTTTGTAGTGACTGCACCTGCAAAATAAGTCACCATGGGCCCCAAGAAAGCTTCTAGTGCCAACCCTACAGCAAAAAGGGTAGGAATTACTATGGTCCTAGATAAGATAAGATTTCGTTCGGATTTTTAACCCCGGAGGGTTAGCCACCCAGGATAACCCAAGAAAGTCAGTGCGTCATCGAGGACTGTCTAACTTATTTCCATTGGGATCCTTAATCTTATCCCCCAGGATGCGACCCACACCAGTCGACTAACACTCAGGTACCTATTTGCTGCTAGGTGAACAGGACAACAGGTGTAAGGAAATGTGTCGAAATGTTTCCACCCGCCGGGAATCGAACCCGGGCCCTCCGTGTGTGAAGCGGGAGCTTTAGCCACCAGGCCATCGGGTCACCAACCAGGCCATCAGGTCATTAAAAGAAGAAGGGAAGTAACCCCGGAAAAAGGACTTGCCACCTCAAGTCTTAATGGAAGGGGATTCCCCTTCTAAACACTTACACCATCCACACTCCCCTCCTCCCATCCCATCAATCATCACCAGATCTTCAATAAAGGTAATGTCATGTAACTGTGCATGTCTTCTTCAGTTTGTGTGTATTAAAATTAATATTTCATGTGGTAAAAACAATTTTTTTTTCATACTTTGGGGTGTCCTGCACGGATTAATTTGATTTCCATTATTTCTTATGGGGAAAATAAACTAGACTAACGATAATTTTGACTAACGATGAGCTCTCAGGAACGGATTAATAGCGTTAGTCGAGGGTCCACTGTATAGTAAAACCTACCATTAACGGATTTTGGTAATTTTAAACAAAAAACAAAATGTGTACAATTATCATAGTAACAGAGTTACAAACATTATCTAGATGGGATCTGGCCTGGTGGCTAAAGCTCCCGCTTCACACACGCAGGGTCCCGGGTTCGATTCCCGGCGGGTGGAAACATTTCGGCACATTTCCTTACACCTGTTGTCCTGTTCACCTAGCAGCAAATAGGTACCTGGGTGTTAGTCGACTGGTGTGGGTCGCATCCTGGGGGACAAGATTGAGGACCCCAATGGAAATAAGTTAGACATTCCTCGATGACACACCGACTTTCTTGGGTTATCCTGGGTGGCTAACCCTTCGGGGTTAAAAATCCGAACGAAATCTTATTTTCTCTCACACATAATGTGATGCAGAGTGTGCAGGTTCGAATCCTGCCATGAACTGAGAGATAATGTTTGACAATAATTTTGCCTGTATGCAAATTAAGCATAGTAACATATGTGTAAATTACCTAAGATAACCCAAAAAAGTGAAAGTAACGAAGTTTCGCTTCGTCCTGGACCACGAACAATGGCCCGAGGAAAAATTAAAAATTCTTCATATCAGCATGATATGTAAGTACAGAGATGAGTGACACTGGAGTATGTATGCTGAAAGACCCTTAATATACTTGGCATTTTGTGCAAACTTAAGTCTATATTAAAACTAATAAGGCAATAATTTCTCTTAAGTGAGAATTTATGATAAATCGTGGCACAAAAACACCATAAAAACTAGAAAAACATCACAAAAAAATAGAAAAACACTTCAAAATCACAAAAAATTAAACACTTCAAAAACGCTAGAAAAAATAGAATACTTCAAAAACATCACAAAAAAATAGAAAAACACTTCAAAAGCACTACAAAAAAACTACACAAAAACACCAAAAAAAAAAAAACAATCTTGTTGCAGGTCACACAGTCAATTTATTCACTCTCCACACCATTACATTACACTCCATTATTATAAACTAACTTCACCTCCTCTTGACCTACTTAATATCTCTTCCTCAAGTTAGGTGAACTTTACTTTCAAGTTGTCTTCCCCAGAGCTCAAAGTTGAACAAGTTCCCGCCTGATCTGTCTCAGTCACTGTTTACCAGTTACTGTTGCCATCTGTTGACACTTACTGTAACTAACAGTAAGACAACAGAACTTGTAAGTAAGTTTATTTAGGTATACACAAATACAGTTACATAGAATTACAAATTCAAATATCTATTACTTTGCGTAATATTCACTGCGCAGTTTACGTGTTGTAAAATATTGTTGAGCACAAAGAAAGTCACTAACATGTATGGACATTTTGGGAAGGTAAATTTAAGTAATGTAAAGCAAGTAATAATAATAATATCTTTATTTACTACAATACATGTACATTATTATTATTATTATTATTATTATTATTATTATTATTATTATTATTATTATTATTATTATTATTATTATTATTATTATTATTATTTATTAATATTATTATAATCAAGGGAAAACGCTAAACCCGGAGGATTATACAGCGTCTAGGGGGGATGTGGAAGGCATTCAGGCTTAATTCGGGGAACTGGAGCACAGATCCAATTCCCTAAATCAAGAGCCCCTCACCAACATCAAGGAACCTTCCTTGAGGGGAAGTACATGTACAAGGTATACAGTCCTAGCTGACATCAATGACGTACTACTGTATAGAAAGCTGCTTGTTATGCTGAGCATTTCGGGCAAATTAGGTCAGTTTTGTCCCAGGATGCGACCCACACCAGTCCACTAACACCCAGGTACCTATTTTACTGATGGGGGAACATAGCCAGTGTAAAGAAACATACCCAATGTTTCTACCCTCGTTGTGCTTTGAACCCGGACCTTGCCGTGTGAAGCGAGAGTTTTAGCCACCAGACCACACGGCACTGTAAGAGAAAGTAAGTGAAAGGCCTGGTGGTTAAAGCTCTCGCTTCACACGGCGATGGCCTGGGTTCGATTCCCAGCCAGGGTAGAAACATTGGGCGTGTTTCTTTCCACCTGTTGTCTATGTTCACCCATCAATAAAATGGGTACCTGGGTGTTAGTGGACTGGTGTGGGCCGCATCCTGGGACAAAACTGACCTAATTTGCCCGAAATGCTCAGCATAACAAGCAGCTTTCTATACAGTAGTGTGTCACTGATGTGAGCTATGGTCTGTATACCGTGTACATGTACTTGCAGTATATAAAGATATTATTATTAAGTAAAATTAAGTAATGTAAATCGAGTAAAATTAAGTAATGTAAAGCAAGTTCCAGCAAGAGGCTGTGAAGGTTACATCATGGATTATGATGTAACAAACGAGGTGCCTTGCACCCGCACCGCCCGAGATGCTCTGTGAAGTAACTTACACATGCCAGTTAGTCCTGTGCCAGTTGTATACTATGCTGTACTATACATACATAAGGGGGATTACGAATAGACTCCTGGCTGTCTTCAAGAAGGCGCTGAACAGACACCTAAAGTCAGTACATGACCAGCCGGGCTGTGGCTCGTACGTCGGTTTGCGTGCATCCAGCAGTAACAGTTTGATTGATCAAACTCTGATCCACCCCGAGGCCTGGTCGTGGACCGGGCCGCGGGAGCGTTGACCCTCGGAATGCCCTGCAGGTATACTCCAGGTATTGTCATTGCTGGTGAGATAAGATAAGATAAGATTTCGTTCGGATTTTTAACCCCGGAGGGTTAGCCACCCAGGATAACCCAAGAAAGTCAGTGCGTCATCGAGGACTGTCTAACTTATTTCCATTGGGGTCCTTAATCTTGGACCCCAGGATGCGACCCACACCAGTCGACTAATACTCAGGTACCTATTTGCTGCTAGGTGAACAGGACAACAGGTGTAAGGAAGCGTGTCGAAATGTTTCCACCCGCCGGGAATCGAACCCGGGCCTCCGTGTGTGAAGCAGGAGCTTTAGCCACCAGGCCATCCAAGAACGTGGATCTGACTTAGCCTTCCTTGGATAGAATCTGATTACCTACCATTTCCCAAGATGCTGAGTGATCCTTATGGGTTTAGCGCTTTCTCCTAAATATAATAATACTCCATGATGCAATCCCTGACGAATTTCCGTGTGATGCTTGTCCTTAGTCGTCGCTCTTATCAGTGTCATCCTCGCCCTTATCAGTGTCATCAATTAGCTCTTTGATAACTTTACAGCCTGTTGTTATTGATTCTAATGAGGGTGTTTGCGTTTGGCGCTGAAGGGGTTTAGACATTCAATTCAATTCAAAGTTTATTCTCTATAAGGATTACAATGCTGAGTTTACAGAATTTGGTTATTGTGTGGTTTACATGTAGTAAAATAATAATTACAGAGTGTACCACTAGAACACCTAGCATGGCTAGGCATTTCGGGCAGACTTAAATTAATTCGACTGAGAGTCGAAGATCAAAATGAATTTTTTATGAGGAGCCACAAAATTTGAGACTGTTCAACTGCCTCCCAGCACACATAAGGGGGATTACCAACAGACCCCTGGCAGTCTTCAAGCTGGCACTGGACAAGCACCTAAAGTCAGTTCCTGATCAGCCTGGCTGTGGCTCGTACGTTGGTTTGCGTGCAGCCAGCAGCAACAGCCTGGTTGATCAGGCTCTGATCCACCAGGAGGCCTGGTTACAGACCGGGCCGCGGGGGCGTTGACCCCCGGAACTCTCTCCAGGTAAACTCCAGGTATCCCGAAGGTGGGCGAAAGAGATGCATGATAATATACACTTGAAAAATCCTAGAGGGATTAGTACTAAACATGCACACGAAAATCACTCCCTATGACAGCAAAAGACTCGGCAGGAGACGTAACATTCCCCCAATGAAAAGCAAGGCACCATGGGTACACTGAGAGACAACATAATAAGTGTCAGGGGCAGATGACTGTTCGAATATAAATGCCCTGTGTAAGCTGTCAGTGGCCCTTGTAAATTCCCATTGTAAACTATTAGTGGCCCCCTATAAATGCACGCTCAGTGTAAACTGTTAGAGGCCCCTATAAACACCCAGTGTAAACTGTCAGTGCCCCCCATAAACACCCAGTGTAAACTGTCAGTGGCCCCTATAAACACCCAGTGTAAACTGTTAGTGGCCCCTATAAACACCCAGTGTAAACTGTCAGTGGCCCCTATAAACACCCAGTGTAAACTGTTAGTGGCCCCTGTAAACGCCCAATGTAAACTGTTAGTGGCCCCTATAACACCCAGTGTAAACTGTCAGTGGCCCTTATAAACACCCAGTGTAAACTGTCAGTAGCCCTATAAACACCCAGTGTAAATTGTCAGTGGCCCCTATAAACACCCAGTGTAAACTGTCAGTGGCCCCTATAAACATCCAGTGTAAACTGTCAGTGGCCCTATAAACACCCAGTGTAAACTGTCAGTGACCCTTATAAACACCAAGTGTAAACTGTCAGTGGCCTCTATAAACACCCAGTGTAAACTGTCAGTGGCTCCTATAAACACCCAGTGTAAACTGTCAGTGGCCCCTATAAACACCAAATGTAAACTGTCAGTGGCCTCTATAAACACCCAGTGTAAATTGTCAGTGGTCCCTATAATACCCAGTGTAAACTGTAAGTGGCCCCTATAAACACCCAGTGTAAACTGTCAGTGGCCCCTATAAACACCCAGTGTAAACTGTCAGTAGCCCTATAAACACCCAGTGTAAACTGTCAGTGGCCCCTATAAACACCCAATGTAAACTGTCAGTGGCCCCTATAAACACCCAGTGTAAATTGTTAGTGGCCCCTATAAACACCCAGTGTAAACCTGTCAGTGGCCCCTATAAACACCCAGTGTAAACTGTCAGTGGCCCCTATAAACACCCAGTGTAAACTGTCAGTAGCCCCTATAAACACCCAGTGTAAACTGTCAGTGGCCCCTATAAACACCCAGTGTAAACCTGTCAGTGGCCCTTATAAACATCCAGTGTAAACTGTCAGTGGCCCCTATAAACACCCAGTGTAAACTGTCAGTGGCCCCTATAAACACCCAGTGTAAACTGTCAGTGCCCCTTTCAACACCCAGTGTAACCTCTCAGTGGCCCCCCTATGAACACCCAGTGTAAACTGTCAGTGTTAGTTTAATATGTTTATTATGCACCCCATACCCATCCTGTGGGCGGTAGTCAAAAGATTACAGAGGTACATGATGGGTCCAGGGACTGGGCCTCAAAGTTTTGATGGCTGAGCAAGTTACAGAGGTAATGAATTCACAATTTACAAAGGTAATGAACTCCAGGTAGGTCTAGTCACAATCATGACAAGTTACAAAGGTATTAACAGATTATAGAGGTACACAATGGGTCCAGGGACTGGGCCCCAAAGTTTTGATGGCTGAACTAGGTACAAGGTAATGAACTCACAAGTTACAAACGTAATGAATACTGTAAGAATGGTTACTGCGTTTATACATGGCTACAATCATGAACAATTTTAGAGTAATGAGTAATTCACACTTCCACACCCGGTCACAACTGTAGTGAGTTATTGGTGCAAATATTTGATTGTTGAGTCACACACACACACACACACACACACACACACCACACACACACACACACACACACACACACACACACACACACACACACACACACACACAACATGCTAAGGGACATCGATACCTCAAGGGAATGGGACCCGGAAACATCTCTCCATGGGTCTTAGAGAGGGAGCAGATATGTTGTGCGTACCACTTACCACAATCTTCAACACTCCCTGGAAACTGGGCAACTACCCGAGGTATGGAAGACAGCAAATGTAGTTCCCATTTTCAAAAAAGGAGACAGAAAAGAGGCACTAAACTATAGACCTGTGTCATTGACGTGTATAGTATGCAAAATTATGGAGAAGATTTCAGGAGGAGAGTGGTGGAGCACCTGGAACGGAACAGGAGTATAAATGCCAACCGCACGGATTCACGGAAGGCAAATCCTGTGTCACAAACCTTCTG